TGCTGTCTCAGACGACAACATTCCTGTCGGCCACCTTAAGTTCTGTTGGGTTCAATTCACAGCCTCACCACTAGATGCCACAAAAAAAAACAGTGCACCTTTAAAACTTGGTTGCCTAAAATCCTTGCAAAAGTTAATATCAGATCGTTTTAAAATAAAGTGGGATGTACTTAATGTTTTCAGTTTTATGCAAAACAGAAATATGACAAATAGAATATCAGATCTCTGTCATAAATACAAAAAAATAAAAAAATAAACTGTAACAATTTATCCTACAAGGTAACACAATGTAACCTTACTCTCACTTGAAATGTGTGACCACATTAAGTCCTTGAATTTGAGGGAATTGGACCTGAAAAGTCTTTGAAAGGTCCTTGAATTTGAAGTTAACCAAAATGGGAACCCTGAAATAAGCACCTCTCCAAGCTGAAATGTAATGGGAAATGAAAGAATAATGGGGACGGATTTTAACCTTGATTTCACTGAGAAACAGTAGCTCACTGCCAGATTTCTATTACTGGTTTATTTTCCTCACACAAGAAGAGTCATATGCCAGAGTTTCCAAACAAAACTTTGTATTCCTTTTAAACGCGCTGCTGACTAATGAACCAAACTGACAGCTCACAGAATGACTGGCTAATTCCCTGTCCTCTTCAATTTATCCTTTTTGTGAGTATATCCTCTTTTCTTTACACTGTGCCCACAGGCGCTGTTGTCAGCACTGGGAAAAGCATCACAGTATTTAGCTGTCTCAGTGTGTCTGTGGCATCGCGTCCCTTCAGCTCAGTGCATCATGGTTACAATCTCTCTCTCCCGGTGGAGGGTAGTCTTTCTCTGATACGGGATACTGTAAAATCATGGGCTGATAGAGGAAAGTGGTGAACGCACCATTAACTCTGTGCTGACTTAGTGCCTCGAGCCATTTGCTGAGCGCAGCATGAGCCTCAACGCTAAAGATGCCCCTGGAGGCTTGTTCTCATAGATATAGGGTGGGCATTTGAATAGAAATATCTTTGGTGCTACTGTTGTGTTAAAAGTGTTCTAGTCTTCTTCAGCATTGCTTTAAAAGGTGAAGTGTGTCTGTATAAATGATTTCTCTTTTTGCAGTTTAATGTGCAGAGACGAATATACAGTAAGTTAGGAGCATTCTTGGGGCGCATTCACTTATTTTCAGTGAGATTCTGAGATTATGAACAATGGCAGGTATGATATTGCTTTTGTACAACAGTTCAATAAATATGTTAATATTTAATAAGTTATTGTCAGTTGTCTATTTTTATTCTTCCAATGAAAAAAATCCAAATACAACAGAATCAACCACACTCTTAGAAAAAAGGGTTCATTGGGGTTTTATATATGAAGCATAGGGTTTTTTAAGTCAGTTCCAACGAAACTTTTAGGCTAAAAAAGTTTCTATAATGACAAGAACGAACCTTTTTGGCACAAAGGTTTTTTTATAGGCTATTATTCCTTCATATATTATAATATCCTGCAACTTTTTGTAATTACATTATTGTTTATTTAACTGTTTTAGTAAATTAATATCACATTTTAATCATGCTGATTTTTGGAGGAGAAAAGCTGAAATGGCACTCTTCATGTGATATTGAGTAACTATATAAAATGACATAAATATATACATTTTCTAACCCCCACCCATATCTTGAATTTTGTGATCATTCACAATGCATTCATAAATACATTTTAGGGTCTTGATGTTTGATGTTATTTAATCTGGAAAAGACAAAACAAATGAAAATGAATGAACCCAAAAGTTTCCACATAGAACCTTTTTCCTGGTTACAAAGAACCCCAAAGGGTTCTTATTGAACCTTTAATAAGGGTTCTGTATCGAACCTTTTAGGGGTTCCAAATACGTAGCGCTGATATAACCTTTTAAGGTTCTATATCAGAATAAATCAAACTTTTATTGATTGAGTTGATGATTCAGTGACTCACTTATAAAGAGTTACTCCCCCCTGATTTATGAAGTGTTTTGAACAAATAGTTTGGTTGTTTGACTCGATGAGTAACTCAAAGATAGTCATCTCCTGGGGTATTTACATAACCTACAGAAAGAGTCACTTAAAAAAAAAATGATGAAATGGGCTACTTTCGGAAGTTGGAATGTCCTGCAGTGTGGTGTGAGTCAAAAGCTATTTACTGTAAAAGGTATTTTTCTAATTATTTTTTAATTGTATAATACAATAGTTAGTTCCGATCAAATATCCCATGTCTCTCAATTAACACAGGGGCAGACAAGCTATATGTATTTCACATTCACTTCTCCTATATTTATTTCAGCTCTCTGTTGTTTGCCTGTGTGTGGTTCAAGGTCACAGAGATCTGGCTAATGGAAAGCCCTATCTACTACCTGTCTGTTGTTGGCCCGGGGAATGTGTATTTGACGTGTTGGTCGGTGAAATTCAATTGACCTGCTTTGAGCTTTTCGTTTCCCCTCTTTTAAAATCTATTCACTGTTGTGCATGACCTCTAAAGGAGATAGCATCAAAATCCACACAGCAGACAAATATCAGTAGCCTTTGAATGACGAAGTCAGTCTGGTTCAGAGCAGTGTGTGTTTACTATCTACAGTATATGGTTTTCTATAGCTTTTGAAAAGGTGGAAATCCAAGAAACTGATTGATTTGTTTGTCTGTGTATTTCTATAGGCCTACTGAAATGTCAAGCATTTATTTGGCCCAAAAGTCATTAATTAGTAATAACTATTGGTTGGTGGGGGTTTTCATATTTCTTTCACCCTTTTATTGATGTACAGTGTTACATTGTGTGAGAGATTATTTGCTCTAAGGGAGAATGTTAGTGTGAAATTGAACAGGGTATGCCAATGTTTTTTACAATAAAAAAAAAACATTTACACAAAGCAAGCCAATCTACTTTTCCATGTAGAAAATCTAATGGGACAAAAAGAAATCAAGAGACATTTATTATAGATAAAAATGTGCGATTAATCGCGATTAATCACGAGTTAACTATGACATTAATGCGATTAATCGTTTGACAGCACTAGAATTTATACATTCAGTTGGCATCTTCTGCGGGTGTATAGAGCCAAATGACTTGATTTTCATTCCAGATAGCATGTGACTGTACTGTCTAAGCTCACTGGTGTATGAAAAAGCTATCCATATTTGTTCTGCTGCTCTTTGAGAAGATGTTGTTTTAGGCTGGTGTCTACATCATAGGCTGAGCCCCTTTTCATTTTCACTGCTGCTCTTCTTCTCCCTCAAGAGAAGAGCAGGGTCAGCCAATCCAATATCCCACTGCTTTGAGCAAACACAACCTTCCATCCCATTCTCTGTACACACAAGATAGACTAAATCACACTCCTTTCTTTTAACAACACGCTACATGTGTTGTCTGCCTTAACCTTGATGGTAGAGAATTATAGTAGCTGATTGTGGTATAGATGTGTCAAATTTGTCAGAAGATTGTCATTCCAGAAGATGTAATTCCAACCTTTCACCGCAGCTATTCGATAGTCATTGAAGAGACCTTTGAGTGGCTGACGGCAGATGTAGAGGTTGCTTTCCTAATGGACATTGTTGATTAGGTTTTTTTTTTTAGCCAATTAGATGCTTGTTGGCTAATCAGCTTTGCAAAACCACAATTAGTAACATATCTCATTGAGCATTATTATAATTGGCTTCAAAAACAACTAGCGTAGGTGGTGAAATGCGAATCAACTGAAGTGCAATGAACAACAAGAATGCCCTTTCCATGAGCAGCACAAATAACATTGATTTCGAGTCCAGCAATACAATTTTGAAAATGTCACCATTTTGACGGTGAAAGTGTTTTATGAGCCCCAGCTGCTCTTTGCAGATAGTTTGCATATTTACAGGTTTATCGACGCAAAGTCGCAAACAGTCAGGATCGATTGCTATCCCAACTACTCAAACACACTAGCATCCGATCACGTGCTCGTAAGCCATTTCAAATCCCTTTACAAAACTAGCCCCGGTGAATGTAATACCCAGTCACCTTACAGCTCTTCAGGACGGTTATTCCAACGGGGTGGTTGACCCCATTAAAGAATGGACAGGCGTTTACTACAGCACAGTTAAGCCCATTTAGTGTCTGTCGCCAATGTGGGGCTGAAGTGTGAACCTCAGGTCATCCGCAGCACAGTTGAATCAGTGAGGTCATGGAGCTCACATCAGCACATTTGCCATACATTTCCAGTGAGCATTAGCTACTGTGTGATTCAGTCATTTTACTGTAGTGGTACTTTATTGGTTTGGTCATATTGCAGCGTTAAATAGAAATCCATAGTTTTTATCCCATCTTTTTATCCACTGATTTAATAGGCATTCCATGAAACAGATTCCTTTTTACAGTTTGATAAAATTGTGTTACGAATAAATTTAAGTTGGTGTAATATGGATAGACTGTTTAAATTACCATTATAAGGCCATACAACTACAAGATTAATTAGAGGTAACTTTAGTTTAGGGTCTAATTCTCACTTTTAACTTACTAGTTGGATATTAGCATATACTAGGATATTGTCTGTTAATTATTAAAAAGGTTAAAAAAATGTAAAAAAAATTACTATCAATGTCTTATTCTGCATGAATTTATTCTGCATTCATAATCCTACACAATTCCTACCAGTATTTAAATATATCAACTGCCTTAATGACTATTGAAAAGCAGTAATTAGGAGTTTGAGGCAAAAGTCATAGTTAATAGCTAGTTAATAGTGAGAATTAGACCCTAATCTAAAGTATGACCGATTTAGATGCTGATATTTCTACTTTTCAATTATCAATTATCAAACACAAATGTAAGGGAGAAAGAAAAATATTGAAATGGAGACTTAGCTTGCCCCTGACCATTTTACTTCCTGAAGAATGATAATGTCATTATGATAAAGTTTTATAAGGAATGGTTCATTATGAGAAAAGGGGACTGTTTTGATGAGACTTGACTGTTTAAGACTTTATGTTAATAAAGTGCACTGTTCTTTTTTCCAGACGCCAAGGCTTGCCCTTCCAAAGAGTTCCAGTGCCGTAACCGTCTGTGCGTGGCTCCCACGTTCGTATGTGACGGAGATGATGATTGCGGCGACGGGAGCGATGAGGAGAAGTGCACGGCGGCCACCGCCAGTACCTGCGGGCCGCACGAGTTCCGCTGTAACGACTCTGAGTGTATCCCAGCGCCGTGGAGCTGCGACGGAGACCCCGACTGCAAAGACAAGTCGGACGAATCTCTGGAGCGGTGCAGTCGCAGGACGGAGCCTCAAAAGCCCCATTGCTCTGCAGGGGAGTTTCGGTGCAGGAGCGGAGAGTGCATTCACCTTAACTGGAAATGCGACGGGGATGTAGACTGCAAGGACAAGTCTGATGAGGCCAACTGTCGTAAGTGTTCAAAAACATTAAATGTTTTTAATATACTGATCAACAAGCACATGTTTCCTAAGGTATTTACATTGGAGAGGCTTGCTGCATGGTGAATGAGTTTATTTATTTAATTAATAATCAGTTTTACCACTTGGCTGCATTACATGCTTCCTTAATGCAGCATGCATGCTGTTCATGTCATTATTTTCATTCTAAATTACCATCACGTGCTAGAAAAGCAGTAAAGCATACGATGTACTCATGAAAAATGTTGTTCATTTAGAATCAGTCCCCTATTGTATGTTCATTCTAATCTGTCAACAAACATGCACTGCACACATAGCAGCAAAATGAATACGTGATGAATAAAACTTAAAAGATTGACACACTGTTTTGAACATGCTGCATCCTTTGCCATAGTAATTAAATGTCTTTGGGAAATGTTTTTAATTGATTTATAATACAATCGAATCGCAGTCAGTCAGTGTGAATGTTTAATAACTTTATATTTGAAAGATTTGTTTCTCGATGAGGTAAGAGGAAAAAATCATGTGTTTGTTTGAGCAAATGTAATCCTGAACACACAAAAAAAGCAGCTGAAAATTGTTTGTTTTCATGTGCATGCTAATGCAGGGTATGTGCCTACAGATGTGTACAGATTGTTCTAGCGTGTGTGTGTTTGAGATAGTGATGTTCTTTGTCCATGGGTGTCATGTAAACTACTGTGGTAGCAGCATGGTAATGTGCCCGAATCTTGTTGGTTGCTAGGCAACAAGTGTGTTTTGAGGAATGGCAGGGTGCTCTCAGTGTTGTCTCACTGTAGCATTCCTCTAGAGAATTGTGTGCCCTCCCCAAAATACTTTTGGTTCAGAATACAGTGCAATGTCACATTTTGGTAATTTTGCATTATAATTTATTGGCTTTAAATTAGACATTTATTCTTTGCGGGTAAAGGTTGTTTTTATGTTATTGCCAGTGTTATTTTAGTCTTACTTGTGTACTTGCTTGACCAGAGTTCTTGTGGGGAGAAGAATTTATTGAAGGTACTCGCGTAGTACGGTTCATCAGCACCGATGTTAGCATGTCAAGCGACACTTAAGAGAATCTTAACCCAAAGTTCTGTCTGTGTGACACAACTTTATCCCTGAAGACAAAAGGGCTACATACAAAAGAAAACTGTTAGGACCACCCATTGGAGATTGATCTACACTGCAATCTACTCTGAGCAATGTTGTTTCTTTGGCATCAACATCCATCAGTTTCTATAGGCCATATGTCGGTATGGGCCATTTGGATCACACTTTTACAGACACTGTTTCAGTTGATTGTATCTTGAGGCAGAGTAACAATGTAAATCCATCTGACTAAAGTTAAGTGAAAATACAAACCCTAAAAAAAAACTCTAACCGTAATTTTAATGTACAAAGTTAATGTAGAAAGTACTTATTTGGAGTAAGTACAATGTAACTACATCACAAAAAAATTAAGTGTAACCTTTGTTTTGTTTTTGTAATATTTTGAATAAACTTTTATTTTTTTATTTTTTATTTTGTTTTTGTTTTTTGGATCATGAATTTTTTTTTTATTTTTTATTTTTTTTTATTATTATTTTTTTAAAGAGATCAGTTTTATTTTTGTTTCACTTAGTACTTTTAGTAGTTTAACTTAAACTTGTGGCCACAAGGTAAGATGCATTCATATAGAATTTAACTGATTAATATTATTGAAATAAAATTTTGCTTCTATCTCAAATCTATTTTGCTTCAAGGATGGTTGGATATGTTTTTACAGTAAAGCAGGGCACATATATACTGTAGGCCAAAAGTATTAAGTGTATAGTGGCAGTGAATATGTGTATTGTTTTTTTGTTTGTTTTTTAAGAGTATAACTGCTCAGACTGGTAAGTAGTACGGCACACAGGGACATAGCGTGGCCGCTCTTTTACTCACTTCAGTATTCACCCAATTAACACTGGAATTTTTTTCACAAACACAAGTAACACTGTGCATATTGGAAATGTAGTTAAATTAGCAGAATGCACAATAATATGCTCTCCTGAAATTGATCGCAGTGGATGTTCTCTGTCCGCAGCTCCTCTAAAGTACACTGTATGAAAGATTAAAGGAATTTTAAAAGCTAAAACTGAAAAATTAAGACCTTTCTTTGCCGAACAGCACATTTTTCCCCAGTGTGATCCCTTATGCCCCAAACTAAGTGACTGATTGTTTTTAATGTTCAGAGTTTTTTAATGAGGAAACTCTCTTGCAAATAAGCTATTACTTTGAGATCTGACAGAAGGTAAAAGCCAAAACCATTTGCTGTTTTACAACTAAAGCTTCACATACATCCATGTGGGATGGGTGATTATTATAAAAGTTTGATGGGGAGTGCTTTAGTATGCATGCTTTTATTTGACAGTTTTATCTGACAACTCATCGCACGGCTTTACCTTAGTCCTTACATTTACATTTATTTATTTGGCAGATTCTTTTATTCAAAGAGACTCATGTTCAGTGTTGGGAAAGTTACTTTTAAAAGTATTGTGTTACAATATTACTTTACTCCCAAAAAAGTATCAGATTGTGTTACAAAAAATTTTACTTTTTATGGAAAGTAATGCGTTACATTATAATTTTACGTTACTTTTCGACTTCTGGGCTGGACTTTTTTTTTTTTTTTTTTAAATAATGTTCTGAAAAAGAAAAAAATAATGTTTTAAAAAAGGAAAATGTAAAGGCCCTCTCCAACTAAAACTGAAATTTACAGTATAAGCGTTAAGCAATCGGATATACAAATTCACGCCTGTACAATAGAGGGGCGTAGCAATAAAACGTTGTTTACACAACTTTAACAACATTTTTGCTTATTTGTATGGTTGAATTGGATCTTTGAATGTCAGCAGCAAAGAAATTGATTAACAAAGTAAGATTAAATACATTAAAGGGTTAGTTCACCCAAAAATGAAAATTCTGTCAGTATTTACTCACCCTCATGTTGTTCCAACCCTGTAAGACCTTCGTTCATCTTCAGAACACAAATTAAGACGCTAACCCTTTAACTATATTAGTACAGGTTTGAATAATAATGAGTTTGCATTTCACAGTTTTTATTAATTTTCAGTAATACTGAATCTGTTTTTGTGCAAGGGAAATGAGTAAATCATCTTTAGACAGCCACACAACGCCTCTGCACTTTTCTTTTCTCTCAACATGTGGAGTAAGGAAGAGGTGTAAGTCAATAAGAAAAAAAAGTAACTTCTGTTACTTATTTGAAAAAGAGCAACTCCGATATTTTGTTGTAAATTTAAAAGTAATGCTTTACTTTACTCATTATTTGCTAAAAGTAATCTGATTACGTAACTTGTGTTACTTGTAATGTGTTGGCCCCAATACTGCTTATAGCAGTAGCAAATAAGATATGCAAAAAATATATATATTTATGAAATACTGTATTATAATTATTTAAAGATTTTGGCTTTGTTTCTGAAAAGTAAACAGTTTGCAACTTGTTGTAAACACTTGCCAATTGTCAATTGTCAGTTGTGCTGCTTAATTTTTCTTTGAAAACCATGATGTTTTTAATAAATGATTTTTTTGACAATTGACAAAATTGACTCAAAATCTTGACCTTATTGTCAGTAGATTCATTCAGTAGATAACTGACACTATGTGTAATGACCATAGGATTGATAGTCCTGCTCCTGTTTTACAGCTGTGCTGACCTGCCGTCCTGATGAGTTCCAATGTGGCGACGGCTCCTGCATTCACGGCACCAAACAGTGTAACAAAGTGCACGACTGTCCAGATTTCAGCGACGAGGCTGGCTGCATCAACAAAAGTGAGTAACATCTCTCTTCTTCACCCTCTCTCTTTTGATTAGCCTCTTTTAGCAGCATGATGAGTAAAGATGAAAGAGTAGAGTGCATCCGGCCAATCATGTATCCCCAATCAAGTTTGCATTCACACAAAGCACTACAAGACCAAACAGATGTACTCCTACATGATGCCAGAGGTTCAGGGCACACTTCCCATATGGCAGCTTCAATCAAATTCACCTCAAAAGATTAATCATCCAATGGCTACAGAGTATCTGGTTAGTGATGCATGATTTAAGTAGGTCATAGGATCAACATCCTTTGCCCTAACCCTTCGTTCTTCAGGTAGGCTCTAGGGCTGAACGATTAATTGCATTTGCGATAAAATCGCGATATGATGAAACGCGATTTTGTAATCGCAAGAGCTGCGATTACACTGGTCACTTGACACGCGAGAGAAAAGCAGTCTGCAAGATAAAGCATCAACTTGCCACGCTACGCGGTCTGGCGTCCAGAAAAGAACAGTTTATTGTGTTATTTATTTTCTCCTCTCCTCAACAATCCTGGATCGATTCAGAGAATTTCAGAATCGAGTATGAGCTTAGTTTTTAAACACAGATGCGTGATGACGCTGCGCGTGCTTTAGAATCGAACCGTGTTCTGAATCTGCTTGCTTCTATTTTCTCGCTCTCTCTCTTCCTCACTCACACACACGACACCGCTCGAACCTTGCAAAACATAGTAACGTTATTTTATAAAGGTCGGGGTTGAACCAAATTACAAGGACATTCGCGGGCTTCATTGAACAGGTGTTGCCGCTTTGCTTGATGTTATAACGTTACACTTGCAGTGCGCGTTCTCTCCCGCGGGTATTTTCTTTACAAATGCTTCAAAGAGGCATTATTTATGTATTTTGGAATGCAGTTGGCTTATATTAAAACCATGAAAATCACTGAGAAGGCTGCTTTCATTTTAAAATACTAACGCGTGCTTTGTGAAGAGCGCTCGTGCATGCGGCCTTGAGCGACTCATTGGTAAATGTACTTGCATGTCAAAATGCTTTTATGACGCGAAATTGATGTAAACACGGTCAGTTATATCTTAAACCAACAGGACAAACCACATTTACAATTTCAAAAGAGATATATGCATTAGTGTGAATGCAGCTTATCGTATCTAAACTGAGGGGAAATCACTCCAGTTCTTGAATGAAAAACATTCAGACAGCCTACTTTTAAATACTGAGACCACTCTTTGTTTATTGCTTGTAATGTTTTTTTTTTGTTTCTCTTTATTTACTAGCTTTTATATTTTGAAGCTATATTATTTTATATAGCCTATTTAAAATTCTTAACATGTAATTGGTTTAATTAAATGTTTTTTTTTATATTTATTTTTTTAAAGTATGTTTTTACACATGTAATTAATTAAATACATATTTTAAGAGTTATTAAGATTAATTAAGAAAAAAGTAGATCGGATCATGAGCTATCTAAAGATTCCCATCCCTACTGTACAATGATTTATTGCTTGTCTTTGTCGACTAATACAGAAGGTAAATAACTTTTTTTTTAAATCGCATATTAAATCGCAATCGCAATATTGGTTAAAAAAATCGCAATTAGATTATTTTCCAAAATCGTTCAGCCCTAGTAGGCTCACAACTTGGATACAAAATAGCCTATTACTTATTCATGTTGATGTTTTTGAATGCAAAAACCAAGCGAACGTCATAAAGTTGACCTCAGACAACAATATAATAAAATTTAAAAAGCCAGTTCATGAACCCTTTAAAGCATATTAAAAACACCTCATAAACAACATAGATTTTTTTTACCACAGGGAGTCTTTAAATTACATTACTACTTTTGTGGTGCTTACTTGTTTTGAACTTAACGGCCTCTTGTCACGGTCTATTATCATTTGTATGGCAAAGTGCAATATGAACATTTATACAATAAGTGTCATTTGAAAATGTGTTTTGTCTAACGCCGTTTCATATTTTGTGCTCTCCATACATCATCATGTCCTTCACAGCCACCAAATGTGAAGGTCCACTGAAGTTCATGTGTAAGAGCGGGGAGTGTGTTGATAGCAGCAAAGTGTGCGACAGCATCAAGGACTGCAAGGACTGGTCTGATGAGCCCGTGAAGGAGTGCGGTGAGTTGAGACACTTTTGCACAAATACACAAATTAAAACAATAAACGTTAAAACAATAGTTTATTAATGTAGTTATATTTTCTTAGTTTAAGACTTTGGGACTTTTATATAAGTTTATTTTGCCGTTGGTTTTGTTGTATAGGATGAGTGATTTACTTTATTGGTTTAGTGTGGAAAGCCAAAGTTGAATTTGGAGAGTGAAACTGATCCTAGACCAGCATTTAAGCTTATAGCAGTGTTGGCTTAGTAGGGGCTTCACTTGATCAAGAGCCAACAACCCACAGAGGGATCATTGATTAAAGTGTGAGTCTTCCTTCAGGCGCAATCATACATGGTGAAACGTGTCCAGCATGCTCTCCTCCTCTCCAGAGAGAAAGCAGGTTCCCATAGATCTATTTTTTCTACTTTCTTATCTTTCATCACACTGGGGAAGTGGACTTTTTTTCAGTGATAAGTTGTACCTGAAAATGCCAAATTTAAAGTGGAGTGTGTATTTTTTTAATGTTAAAATGCATTCTTTTGGAGAGTGTAAATGCTTCTGTAAAAATGGGGCTCATTTTGTTTGAGCTGTTTAAGGTCTCAAATTCTGGCTCAACTACCTATTTGTGCAAGTAATGGCAGATGGAATAGTTGTTTGTTCATCATACCGAATGCAACGATTCTTCATATTTGGCTTTATTGTAAAGCAGTGTCATTTTAGTATTTGATTTTGGATTCAATTATAGTTTTTAGTAGTATTTTACATTTTGAATGGCTTTTATTTTTATATTTTTTTAGTTTTCATTTTTTATTTCATTTTAGTTACATTTTTACTAATTTTCCAATGGGTGATTTTAATTACTATTTTGATTTAAGTTATATTTATTTCAGGTTTAGTTTTTATTTATTTACAAATAGACCTTTTAGTGCTTCGACGTCCAATTTCAGTCAAAGCAACATTTCTACATTTCATTCAGTTTTCATCTAATATTTTTTATTTTATTTTGTCTTTATTTAAATGAAAAATGTTTTCAATCCTTTTACTTTTAGTTAACTATAATAACGCTGTTGTAAAAGTTTACATACTTTCCTAAGCACTCATATTCATAATTTTGACTGGAACACAATCAAATGAGTGGAAAAAGTCCCAAGACTAAAGGTCTGTTCACTCCAAGATGAATACCTGGTGTGAACATTTGGTGCCATAAGCATTTTAATTTGAATGGACAGCCAGCAATGTGTCTGTTCAGACTCTCAATACGCCTTATTCACGGCAGTGCCATCTTTGATTTTGAATGAGAATGAAAGCGAGACTGTGAGGGATAGACTTGCATCTCTTCAATGGGCTGTACTGTTATTTAATGTGTTTTCGGATTGTTCTGATCATGAAACACTGGAAAAATATCTTTCCAAGAAATGTCAGTTGACAAAAAACTCCCGACAATGTAAGCTGTGGAAAATTGTAAGTAATCTAGTCGCTTTATTCAGCTTTTTACAGCGGATGCCATTGCAAACACGGTAAGTCTATCCCTCACAAGCCTCACTTTCATACTTGTCATGGCGCTGCTCTGAATAAGGTCTATGTGAGAGATTATTTTTTTACGGAGCGGTGTTCTAATATCTTTTCCATCACACTACATAGAAAACTGATTAACCAATAGGATTTGTGCTGTTTGTCACATGCCCAGAACGGCTGCTGTTACATAAAACCTTGACATGGTGATGCTCACAAACAGTATTCTGCTGTGCAACAGGCTCAGACAAAAAGCATATAGTGACAAGAATATTTTTCTTGTGTGTAGTCACCTTGCAACCACCCAGAACACGCTAGGAAGCACATCTACTAAAAATACTTATCTGCTCAGCAATGCCCTAACAACCACCCACAACACTGTAAAATAGTGGCGGTGAGCTGTACAGTGGCAAAACCACCCACATTTTCTTTTTTTGGCAGTTTGGTTTAGTATTGATATGATGAATATTGCACACTTCACCTTTACAAGAAAAATATCTTAATAGCTTAATGTTTGAAATAGTTGTCTAACACTTTTCATCTGTATGTTAATGTGATCGATATGGTATTTGGGAAAGGCTAGCTCCTTGCTTGACTCTCTCTCTTTCTTTCCCTGGTTATGTTCACTCTTGTATAAATTTTTAATGCAAAATACATCTTCCCACAGTGGCTCTTCAGTATAGTCTTAATTTCCTTGTGGGTCCCTCCACTCAACAGATGAGATTAGTGCGGCAACTAACGCACGACAGATACCCCCTTTGAGCCCTGTGCACTCTGGATCGGCTCCAAGTGGGCCACTGCAGTTATGCATGCTAAATCACTAGGTCTGGTGCCAAGGATTACGCTTATACCTCATTCAATAGTGCATCCTTTACTTGTTATACATGATTCATATATGCCCTGGAGAAAATGTTCCTGCTTATTTATCTGTTCCTGAGCGTCTCTCGCTCGATTTTTGAGTGTGATTTTTCTCTTGCTCGCTATCCAGGTCTTTGTCCTACCTCCTCTCTCAACCTGTCTCCTTTCATTCTACTTTGTCTTTCCTTTCCCCTATTTCACTTGAACTCCCTGTGATGTTCCTGTCCTCCGTCTATCTCCCTCTGTCAGCTGTTCCTCAGCATTAGCATCAGCTATTCTTCTCTTTCTCCCTGTCTCTTGTTGTCTTTCTTCCTTTTCTTCCTTCGTCTTTTTTTTTTTGTACCGTCAGGCTGGTTTTTGTCTCTCTTCTGTTATACATGCACACCCAGTCACATTAATATCCACAAACAAATTGAATGAATTTATTTATTTAGTTTCCAATTAATAATTTTTTATTGGCTTTGTAAATTATTGTAAATCAGTGATTTTTAAACTTTTTGGCTCAAAGGCCCCTCATTTAACACAATATTCTAAGCCCCCCATTTAACTAAAATATTAAGTCATTTCTGCCAGTTTTGTTTTATGAACAGAAACTGGGAATTTTGGTATATGAATTAATCATGTTTAATTTTGTGATTCCAGAATTTTCAATATTGCTCTTCAATAGAAACAATAGTAAGTGAGGGAGAGAAAGATGTGATTGTGGTATCTTTTTACAGTTCATTTAAATACTTTAAGTCATCCTGCAACACACTTTTAATAAACAATAAGTCATATCATCTCTGTTGGGTGGAAACCTTGCACCTCCAAAAATGCTACTTTTCAGGATTTTTTTTAAATTGTTAAACACTGGGTTGTCAATTTATTTTGTGGATTTATATATGGTGAGACATTTGCATGTTTCAATATAATATTATCATTTTACCAAAATCAAGCTCAAATGGAGTTATGAGTTTTTTGACCAGCGAATTTTGGACTTGAGCCATTTGTCGGCCATTAGAACAATTGCATCTGGGGCAGTAAGTGAATATTATGTTTTCATCAACCTACAAGTTATAAAGTTTACTGTAGCTATGTGGACACTAATGTGTTTTGTCATTATCCAAAATCTGATGTTAGTTATTAAAAATGTGCTACACACAGGCTGCTTGATACAGTATTGACTGGACGACAAATGCTAGATTAAGACACTGTTCTACGCTCTTCAAGTACATAAAATATTAGCCTATAGTGTTTCAAAGAAAACTCTGTATGTATTCAAAGAACACAGTTCTTTATTACCTTGCATTGAAAACAAGTAGACTAGAGACAGTCCAAATTGCATGCAGCGCTTCATTCACGATAGAGGCAGGGGTGGAGTTATGACGAGCTTAGTCACAACCTCTTTTTTTTATACAATTTTCAAGATTGTAATGATTTATTTAAAAAAAATACAGAGAAGAAGAAAAAAGACAAAAATTGGAGGTACAAGTATTTCGACTCATGATGTGTATTACAGTATATAATATATGTATGTATGTGTGTGTGTATATATATATATATATATATACTGTATATATATATATATACATTATTTGCTTGCTACAGTAAATATTCATTTAATCAGATTTATTATCATCATTCTTCTATGAGATGTCAACTGTAAAAAAAAATGCTGTTTACATGACATTTGTGGACAAGGTTTTTCAGGCTGAAAAGGTTAATTTGCAGTAAATCCGTGATTGAGTCTTAAATGGGTTAATAAAACAGAAGGCACAACTTCTTGTGGTAATTGTGGTCATATTTTGTTGATTTTATTGGGTCCGTAAGAGCAGACATACTGTTGAGATGAAAAGTGATATATGTTGTGTATTCTCCCTGTCATCTGTAATGGAAGGAGCCATCACCCAAAGCCCAAATGTGTTGCTCAGAGAAGCGTTCTCGAGTGTAATAATGGCAAGACCTTTGCCATATTACTCTGTCAGTCTTTCAGTTAGATTGCACTTACCTCATCATTTTCTCATAAAGTCTTCACACAAACATGAAGCTCAACCAAGAAAACTTGAAAGAAGCTGTCCACCATTAGCTGCTGCCAATGTTGCCATGGGTACTTTCAGTCCAATTCCTGCTAGGCATGCTGACCTTTGACACCACCTTTATTGTTTTTTGTCTGTCATAGGTCTGAATGAATGTGCCATTAGCAATGGTGGCTGCTCTCACATATGTAAGGACCGTCAGATCGGCTATGAGTGTGAATGCCCCTCGGGATATAAGCTCCTGGACAAGAAGACTTGCGGAGGTAACATGAATTTGATCTTAGATACCACCATTTTGATGCTGTGCAAGACTACATTTTACCCATTTTCCCAAGAGCCCTTTGTTGTTCCTACATGATGAACATCTATGATTTGTTTACTCTCAGCATCATCACTTTGAAATTGATAGTAGAGAAATCCCCAGATGGTGTTTGAAAGCATCATTTATCTTGTCTGTGGACACTGCACTACAAAAGCCTCTGTTCTTGGTGCATCTCTGCTCTGTTACTAATGCTTTTCTGATGGTCCTCTCCAGACATAGACGAATGCGAGAACCCTGACGCCTGCAGTCAAATATGTGTCAACCTCAAAGGCGACTACAAATGTGAATGCTACGAGGGCTACGAAATGGACCCAGTTACAAAGACCTGTAAGGCAGTGGGTAAGACACTTAGCTTACAAAAGCATCTCCATCCATCACTATTCTGGACCAGGATCAAAATGAACACTTTTTTTATCACATACTAATGGTGGGATACATTTTAACCATGCTTTAACCGTAACATTTTTGTTTATCAGATATTAAACAATATTTTGCGTTATTTGTTTACTAATGTGATTTTGTTTTTTGTCCACATGATTATGGAATTATTTAGCTTTTCCAAAAAGAGGAAGTAAATTTGAAAATTATCTGAATTTCTGAAAATTATATTACACCACGACAGTAAATAATTATCTTTATAGAAATGTAAAAATATAGTGTATGTATATTATCTTAAAGAAGACAAATAAAATAGTCTCTTCATTTTAAATGGACAGCAGTATATTTAATTATGTCTTATCCTTTCAAAACGTGGATATAACTTTGAAAATATATGGATTTCTTTATTAAGTACTTGTTATGACAAACATTATAAAAATGATTTACTGATGTTTTCAAAGTTATGTTTAGATCTAAGTTTTAGGTTGATGCAGACAGCAGAAAAATAGACTGGACACATTACTGTTACATACGTGTGACATGCTTGAAGGTGCCCTAGAATGTGTTGAAATAATATTTTAATTTTGTCTCTTATTTTAAAGAAAAGTAATTGTAGGGGGTTTAGTGAACCTAATGAAGCTTTTCTTTATTGTCCTTCATTTGCCTGACCAGCCTGTGTAAAACTTCAGTGCATTTCCAGCACTCCCAGTTGGGTGGATGACAGCTGGAGGAACACTGTCATTAAATGCAATGTGTAAAGCTGGCATAAAAAAAACATTCCCTCGAGCTAAACAGCACACGGAAAACTTAGTGAAGTGATTTCACTCTTCAGTAATTGCATTCTGTTGTTCTTGTGTTTAGGTCAGTTATATCCATTTAGGTTTGTATTGTAAGTTAGAACTTACTGAATCTTATATTATTTAGCATAATTCATATATATATATATATATATATATATATATATATATATATATATATTGTGGTTGTTGTTTTTTTTATATGAGGTCAAAAGATAGTTTCTTTTTTTAGATAGTTTAGTTCTGTGCCAATGTGTGTTTATGTGGTTCTTGACACTAAAAACAGAGAATACCGGTATGTTCTTTAGCTGTAATGTGTGTGAGAGTTTTTGTTCTTTGTTACGATTGATTTAGACTTTGTTTGTTTGTTCCATGATATGAAGTGGAAGTATTGTGTTCAAGATTACAAATGCAGAATTAAAGTACGATCAGAAATTTAATATTTGGCAGCCATACTAAATTCTCTTTTAATACGCTTCTGTGATCTGTGTGTTTTAAATCACGCTTCACGCTTTTTCTTCATCCTTTTTTGGTGTGCCTAGAAAAGCTATTAAATCATTTTAATAGCTTGATGTTGTTGCCACAAGTATATCTTTCAAAATGTAAAATAACTTTCCTAACCTCCTGCTCCCTTTCATAAACATATCAGGCGAAGGCACATTAAAGATAAGAGGGAGGTGTGCTTTTATACCCCGTGTTCCCAGACTTTAGTTTTCGGGGCTTGACAGCCATTTTTTAGACACAATAGTAACTTCAAATATGGCCTTTGGGTGCTAATATGGGCTATAATGACTTGTGATATTATGAATAGAGAGTGCAGAGTGCAGTCAGTGACCCTTTTAGTAAAACGAAACATGACCAGACCAATTTCAGATTCAGTTTTTTTTTTATTCTTTCAACTGCAGCCAAACAGAACAAAACAGACAGTGCCTTTCATATATGATCCTAAAGAAATGAGCATCATCGCTCATTTCATGCATACTGCATGCCATTTTAATTAAATATTCTGTTACATCTGAATGAACATAATCAGTTTATTTAGATTTGAGGAGACAAATATTATAAATGAATGGCAAATTTGCCGTAGTCAGTCATTATTTGTTTACATATGAGCCACACCACCAAATGCAAATATAGAATTCTATATTCTACAAAAGAGCACCCATTGAAGAATAGTTATACATCATCACACCATAGGCCCCACCCACTAGTGTTCTGTTGCTTAACGGCTGTCATTTGCCTACACTGGATGTAAGCATTGTGTCGCATCAAAAGCAATCACTGACGCGGTCTACAATGATGTAGTGTATAGATGCAGATTCAGTTTTTGACATACTCCATGCACTTGTGTATGTCGACAACAGGACAAATAAAAGAGAGAAAGAAGATTCACTTTGACTCATCCACTTTAAACAGCTCGTTTGTGCCTCTATATAGACTTCAGAAGTGTCCCATCTTCTGAAACAAATAGATGGTTTGTGAACAATTGTTCAAAAATATTGGGAAGGGAACCCTGTAATACACTATATCGGTATCATAACCAGCTCTCTGATAGGCCTTATGTCACATACTGTCATTATGAGTATGAGGTCACTCACCTGTTGAGAATAAGTAATTTGGCCTTAGTGTGAGCTGAGACATGACCGAGGGGGTTATGGGAAATGACTGGCTGTTTTTTATGTCTGTCTCTTTCTTTTACCTTTGTTACTTATCGGTCAGAGTGTTACACCCACCCATAGATCATTTGATTATCTTCATGGGCCAGTTGTTCAAAACATTTAATCTGGATCAAAATGATCAGGATTTGGAAATTCCATTTTTCCCTATCCAGGATCAGGCAATCCGTTTAACTTTTATGCCGGTTTTTCAAAGCAACATTGGACTGGATCACCCTGATCCAGATAAAAAAGATAATTTTATTTTATTTTTTACTTTACTACTGAATAGCTTAATTGTTAGCCTATGTCTACGTTATCACTGTTACAACGGTTACACAAGTCAAGTGCAAAATATAAATAAAAGTATAAACACTAATTATTTGACCAATTTTAAAGTTTTACTACATTTTCTTCCTGAAATCCACCTTGAAATCCTACCCCCTGTTGGGATCAGGATAATCCTGTTTTTTTGGATCAAAGTTATCCAAATCCCACTGACAAGTTTTGAACAACACAAACTGAAGGTTTGATCCAGATTAAAACTAGGATTGGATTCCCTGATCTAATCTGATTTCAGATTCCTTCTTTCCCTTTTGAACAACCCATTTTCAAGATTTGATCCAATCCGATAACCAAAATCCGATCAGCTTACCTTTGAACAACTGGCCCCATGCTTTCACTTCCACCTGTTTTCCTATATATGACTCCAGAAATTGAGGAAACTGTCACACTAGCCCTGCCCACAACATTTGAAGATGGGAAATTCGGTCTGGACTTGATACGTTGAGAACCAAGTATGCCCGAACCAAAGCTGTTCGGACCAATCATATTGTCAGGGCGGGCTTTATACAATGATTGACAGCTGATCAACAGTAATGTAATCATCCATGTCACCAAAGAGCCCTTGGGTTGAATTTGTTTACAACAAAGTATGGCTGCTGCTGGAGAATTGAGATGTGTAGATTCCACCATCGCGTCTGTTATAGATGTAGGCAGCACATTCATCATGGCATTTGTCGATCGGAAAGATGTTTTTGCCATCCTTCCTATTAGATTCGGTCTATCCTATTGAGTGTAGGGATATTTTCTTTCCTGGTTCAGTTAAAACACCCCATAGTCACAGCCCAATGGAGCTGTATCAGACTCACATTCTGACTAGAATCTGAGTATCACGACGTCAGGCTAATGTCACACTGTCTCGGCTCTGCACACTGGGTGTCAGCCAATAAGGTGATGCCTGTCTGCGGTGTGGAACAGCTTATGGGGGAAATCAAATACATGTTTGGATGTGTCGTGTTGTGTTCAGGACTGATGCCTCACACTTATTCTGTTACCTGCCGTTGAAAGCAGCTGAGGTATATTTTAAGAAATGGTATCAAAAATGAAGCACAATGTAGAATTGGTGGACATTGAGAGGGAGACTCAAAGATCCCGGCGACTGGTCCGGAGTTAATGATGTCTGGGAAACAGAACACAGTGTGTGTGTGTGTGAGGTGATGGGAAAAGCTGTGCATCAAAAGCATAAATAAAATGATGGCACATCATATGAGGATGATGGTGGATCCCCAATAATTTGAGGAAAGCGTTTTACCATAAAATATTGTACGGGTGAGTTGTTATTATTTTGATGTTTTTTAGCATCCTAAATTATACTAGCATGACAGGAAACTACTTGTTTAGTCAGTAGCTATTAACTGATATTAAGAATGGATAATTTTCCTTTTCTATGTTTGACAAAAAATTAAAAATCAACTATACACTGCAAAAATATTGTTAATAGCACATGATAAAAATGGTAAATGTTGTAATTCATGTAGTGAGTTTACAGCATGTATTTTTTCTTCCATGAAACTTCCCCATGTTTCAACACTGTAAATAAATATTGTTGGTTTAACTTAAAAAGTAAGTAACCTGGTTGCCTTAAAATTTTAAGTTGATTGAACTGGAACAAGTGAGTTAAAGTCCCCATGAAATCAAAATTGAACCTATTTACTTTGTTAGCGCATATTACTAGTCTTGTGGTGAACAATTAATCCGTGCAAGTGAATATATATTAAAAAAATGTTTTACCTTAGTAATCTTTAATCAAAATCTGAAAAGTTACTTCCGGTCTGGAACGGTTTCTTTTTCTGATGACGTAGGTTTCACAGTTTGGGTGGGGAAACGCTTAACCACTCCCCTCAAACCGTTAGTTTGCTATGAGCGAGAGATGGAGAGGAGGAGCGCTAGAGTAAAACCCTGCCCTCTGTTCAATATTCCGTTTCACTTGGAAATGCGTCACAGCACTGGAGAAAAATCGTTTGCAACTTCCGGTTCACGGGGACTTTAAAGGTTCTCTGAGCGATCCTGGGTGTTGACGTTCGGAATATTTTCAAACAAATCGGAGGCTAGCTAGACCCTCCCTCCTCCGCATCTCATCTCCTCCCCCTCCCTTCCGTCCTTCCTGAAATAATTGTGAACGTGCATTTCTAGCTAATTATATCATTGTGTGGGTTTGGCGAACATAAGCGTCAATTTAGAAGAAAAAAAAACAATTTAACGTTACCCGGACTGGAAGCCCTTCTGCCGCCGGAGTTCTCGCCATCGTTAAAAAGCTTTGCTACCGATGTAAATTCGGAACTTCGCGCGTTCTTTATCCGACTCCTTCTTCTTTTTAATTTGTTCTTCAGAACAACGTCTCTTTGGTCGTGTTTCGGTCATTTTTCAAACTTCCCTCTTATGCTTCTCTCTCCTTCACACACACACACCCTTCATGTGCACGCGCACTAACCCCCCAGACCCACCCTCAAATACTTCTTGCCAGTGATTGGCTGGAACACTGTTTGTTAGGTTTCGTGGTCCGGGTGAGACATGATTGTTTTTGTTGCTGTTTGTGGAGCCTGTGGTGTCCACAGAGACCGCGTTTTTTTACAGTGTGTTTAGGGGACAGGCAGCTAGCCGATAGTGAGGAGACGTTTGATGTATGTGACAAAAAATGTTTTGGCCCCACATCGCTTAGAGAACCTTTAATACAATGAAGGAGATTAATTTAATCATCAGAAACTCAAAATAATAAGTTATCTCAACTAAATAAATTAAGTTGATTTGACAAAAGAAAAAATATTGTGATAACAAATCTTGAAAATATATTTTTTACAGTGAAGTATTAGAATGAGTTATTATAAGCCCTTTGTAATATAGAATCTACCTTGATTCTATATTACAAAGGGCTTATAATAACTCATTCTAATACTTCACTGTAAAAAATATATTTTCAAGATTTTAAGGGTTCATGACCTTTTCCTTGAAAAAGCCCTTTAGTCAGCAGTGAATCACCTTTAGAGTGAAGAGGCTTATAGCACATACAGTATGGCCATGTGAGAAAGTGCTGATTTGTGTGTTTCTCAAAAGAAGTTGTCATGACGCCAAAGACGGCCAGCATGCTGCTTTATGTAAATGTGATGCAGCTCAGCTAAAGCTTGAAGGGACATATCTCTCTCCTTATTATTTTTCTCTCTGTTTATCCCACCTTCCCCTTCAAAGATGGATCATTCCAGCAGATGGGTAAGAATGATTGAATTCTGTCTGTTGCTGAAAATGAAAATATTTGCTGATGATACAGTGGTCCATGGTGGCTTTCTGAAGAGCAGCAGGAAATATTCTCTATTCCGACACAATGTGGACAGGCTTTCCATCCATCTGTCCAACTCACAAGCACCACTCGGCACCTCAGCAAAAACAGTAATTGGCTCAGACTAGATCAAGTATGAAAGAGTGAGATGGGTGGAGGAGAATAACAGAGACATAAGATCTCATCCATCAGTTCCATCATCCACCCTACATCACTGCCAAACCTGAGCGCTTTTCCTGCACTCTCACAGTGACATCTGACCACAGCACCTGCTGCTCATTATTCTCTATCTCTATCTCTCTCATGCCCTGCATTATTCTCTGTTTTCACACTTTTTTTGCTTTCATTTGTCTGTAACACTTGACCAAAAGGCATCCATGGATCATAGATGGAAGCTTTTGCTGAAAGGGAAAAATGTCTGTGACTATCCCAGACCAAAAAAAAATATTTTTAGGCTGTAAACAGAGATAGAAAAACATCAAGTTATATGTAAATCTAATTTTGACAAATGGTTGAAATCATTCATTGTAATGGTAAGTTTATATTTTAGGGCTGGGGCACGATTAATCGCTATTAATCGCATCCAAAATAAAATTTTGTGTTTACATAATATATGTGTGTTACGTGTATAAATATTTTGTATCTAAATATTCACACACGTGCATGTATATATTTAATAAAAATGTGTTATTAATATATAAAATATGAATATTTATATTTAATATAAATTATGTATAAATATATATATGCAGTATTTTCATGCAAATATTTCTTAAATATATACAGTACATGCGTGTGTGTGTATTTAAATATGCAAAATAATTATACACACTTTTTATTTTGGATTAATCGCTGCCCAAATATTTTTTCATCAGTGTAGGGGACCACGCACGTGACTCAGAAAAAGGGAGAGTGTCCTTGCTGTTACATAGTGGATAAACTAAGAGGGTCAGTGATATTCTGTGTTGGCATGACTGAGCACCAAACCACAGTGACTAAGCTGCCCAGCAGTACACACACATGCTCATATATGCACACACACCACAGTGCAGGAAATTACCTGGAAACACTCAGAAACCTGAATCACATGGTCTGCAGGTGCACTGCAGACTACCACACATCATTCATGGGTAAATAAATGCTGTAGTCCAAGTCTACTCGGCACATGAAATGAGCCATACAAATTTAAATCAATGCTTTTACACATGGGTGCGAGTCGTGTGGTTAAATGTTTGCTGCCCACAAATGTGTATTTCATAGTATGAGTGCAAATAACACAAATAGAGATAAGGAAGAGACACTGAAAGTTTACATTTTAAACAAGTCAAGAACGCTTTTTTTATTTTATTTTCACTCGTTGAGTTGTGTAGACACATAGCGAAACCACAAAGTACACATAAGTTTCGCTATTTTTATGAAAGAATCCTATGCAAAAATGTTTGAGTTCTATTGAAATCTGACCTTGCAGAATTTGGTATCTTAATTGTATCATAAATGTGATTAAGTTTGTGACCTCATGATCTCTTCTCAAACTCAACTCTGTTTTTGTAGGTCAATTGAAACAGACTGGATCTCGTTTATGACTTCTGTTTCCTTTTTATCTCAAAATGGCCCAATATTAATTGGTTTATCAGCTCAATCATCTGTTAGAATGTTCCCAAGATAACAATTGAGCTGACTGATGAAACATTTTCTGTTCTCCGTATAGGTAAGAGCCCATGTCTTTTGTTTACTAACCGGCATGAGATCCGGCGCATAGACCTGGTGAAGAAGGACTATACACAGGTAGTGCCGACCCTGAAGAACGCTGTGGCCCTAGATGTGGACGTTACCACAAACAAGATGTACTGGTGTGACCTCTACCATCGCAAGATCTTCAGGTATATCCAACATTACAGTACAGTGCACATCATATTGCCTCCTAACTTGACAGCTGTTTAATCTTTATTTAAAAAGGATAATTTGCAATTAGTGTTCAGTGCTCAGGTAGGAGGAGAAATTGTCGTGATGAAGCCCTCTTTTGAGAACCTATACCCACCTCCTCTCAGCTGGCTGATATTTAAATTCATGAGAGCTCAAAATGACTCTTTATGATCCAACATAAAGATTGATTGATAGATTATTGTTATGTTTATTGCTTAGACTCATCCCAGTGAACATCATTTTGGGTTAATTTGAGCACAAAACACCTTGTGGGTTGCACTTTGATAGATAGTTTGTCTCTTTTTAACTTGTTAGTGTTGTGGTGAGCAACAGGACATTTTGGTTATTTCTGTTGTGTTTTCCTGAGTAGCCACACCTACAGTTACATTTAATCAGTAAAATATTACAACTCAAAATGTGAATGGCTGTCATTGTGATGACATTATTCTTACTGAAATTTCCTCTGTAGTCTCTAATTTATTGTGTTGTGCTTGGTAAGTACATAGTTTTATAATACTTTTAATAATGTTGCTGTTGAATTTGGTCCATAATTGACCGTACTAGTATATATATATATATATATATATATATATATATATATATATATATATATATATATATATATACTAGTTTTTTTATATATATATATATACTAGTAGGAGATATATACTATCTCCTTTTACTGTCATTATAATGAATATAAAATATGAACCTGCAATTAAGTGGTTGACATCACATTATATTGAACATCTCATCTTATTTAGTCACAATGTTAAAGCGCTCAACATTTTATCTCTTTATTTTTATTCTTGTTGTCTCATTTGTGGATCATCAGTGTTTGAAAGGGGCCAGGGAATCTGTTCCTAATAATAGATCTCCTAGTCAATCCAACGAAAGCACAATAGAAATGTTCCCTGGCTTCGATTTCCTCTGTCCTAGTGATTCACTTAAGATCCACTCTGAAAAGAGTGACTGAAAGTCATGTGTCTTATAAGGGTAGATGGGCCATTTTGATGGCTGTTGAGGCAGCATCTGTTAAGAGCTCTAAGCAAATGGACAATTACCAGGTTATAACACAAACCACTCCTCACTGCCAATGAAAGATGGGTCATTCTATAAAATGGGTACCTTTTTCATTATGATATTAAAAGTATATATTTTGTAGATTTGAAGTAAGTTGTCTTAAGATTTTAATGCTTAATGTTTTAATTTAATGCTGGTGTTTATACCAGTTGCCAGTTTTCAATTTTCTACCAACATTGTAAAAGAGTTGACATGATTTGTGAGTTTATTATTTGCTGAAATTCAAACATAAAATGACTAAGCTAAACGTTCACTACCATAAACTTCAGCTCCATCCGTAGGCTACAGTCAGCGATTGTAGACACTATAAAGGCAGTAATGATGACGTTAATTTTACCATATCAATCTGAGTGTGAGTCCAATGATGAAATATTCAAATCAGTCTCAAGTCTTGAAGATTTGAGACTGATTTGAGAAGCAGTCGTAACTCGTAAGTAAAATGAACTTTGAGGGCTGAACAATTTGTTTGCGGGCGGACAAAATACAACATAGGTGTGCGTTATGCAAATGTGTTTTCTAGTGACGTAGAACCGTTGGAAATAGAAAATACAAACGATTAGTAAAGGCAGTTGAGAGTCGATTCTTTCTTTTGGGTACACTTTCGACTTGACAACTTTACATTCACGAACAGCTATATCACACACTGCATTAAAAGGGAATATTCAAAAACCATAATAGGTTAATGTATTTAAAAGAAGTCTCTATGCTCCCCAAGGCTGGCTTTATTTGACCAAAAATATGGTTGTTAGAGTAGCAAAGAGGAGGAAACACAGGTCTAGGGAGAAACCAAAAACGCACAAAATATTAGGCTTTTATATAGCAAATGACCCTGGTGACACCAAAAAGATTTCTTATGAGGCGCTTTCTCATGAGCGCTGAATCATAAGATCAATTACATCAGATTTCACCATGCTTCAAAAGGCAATCATATCTGCTTCACTGTAAATCACTGTAGCTTTCTTAGTCTGGAAAAGATCACAAGAGTCAGCCATTTTGTCCTACAATTGTTCTTTGAGAAACATGCAGACGTCGCTTTACTGTGCTGGCTATATGTATGTAAACAACAGCTGTGAGTGCCATCTATTCATGGTGTGCTTATTCACCATGATTCTGATGGATGCGCCGAATACCTTGTGAATGTTTATGAATAGATAGATACATACAGTAACATCTGCATAAAATGCTGTGAATGTAGATTAACAGTGTGTTTGTTCCTCTTCAGTGCATACATCAACAAAGCCAGCGACACTTCCCAACAGATCACACTCATAGACACTGCGCTACATTCCCCAGAGGGCTTAGCAATGGATTGGGTTCATAAGAACATCTACTGGACCGACTCTGGACACAAAACTATCTCTGTCGCAACTGGCGATGGCAAGAAGAGAAAGGTGTTGATCGACACAGATCTTGGCGAACCACGTGCCATCGCTGTTGATCCAAGACAGGGGTAACAATTTGATGTTTATAATATAAAAATCGAGCAGACTCGGAAGTGGGAATGTTGCTTTAAATGATCATTCAATTATAATGAATTATGTAGATAGGATATATGTGCATTATCTATGTCAACACACCAAGGTTTTTGCCAAAGGTTCCTTCACTTTGTATGTATAATTTCTTCTTTTATTGACGTTCATCATGATGAGCCTCAGGGCTCTTTTCACCATATTACAGAAGTAGAAGAGCATGAAAAACATGCAAATGAGTCTCATGCTGGTCAGCGTACCAACTAATTGTTGCCTGTGGGCAAAGTGCCCACTTCACTCTTATAGAGCCAGAGCTATATACTGACACTTTTTAATGAGCATACACTTACCTCTTTATCCTATTTTTGGCAGGTGATGAGCCATTGGTGCTCCCTAATTTTCCCCTCAACTGTATCTCATTTGTTTGATAGCATGAAGCTTTTGTGGCTCCTACCCAAGAAGCTCCTTAGAAAGCTCTACTGTTTTTTTTTTTTTTTTTTTTTGTTTTGTTGAGTTGTAAAGCTGTCATTCACATATCCCCTAGTCTTTTGGTTAATTTTAATATTTTCAGTTTCCAATAAGAATGATAAACCACCGTTTTACACATTTTACCCCGTTTAAATTCATTTTGGAGTATTCCACAGACTTTCCAACTAGCTCTGAAAATGTGGGGGAAATAGATATTGCATACTTCTAAGGAAGCCTCAAGATGACGCCTTAAAATGATATACATTTGACAAAAATAGCATTAAAATCAGACAAGACATCTAAAAATCAAGTTATTTCTTTTTTAATTATTTTTTTTTTTTCTCTGAAGAACGAGTCTTGGAAAACCTGGATATGTGAGGTAGCCTTATTTTAAAAGTGCGATTTCTAGACCTGGAAAATGTATGTAAAATAATACAATTCTATAAATTTATGGGTATTTTATAATACATTTTCCTGGATCTGCTCTTTTTTTGGGGGGGGTTGAAAAAAAACGTTTTTAAAACCATTATCTTTAATCCTTATCCAGTAAATCACAAACAAATGAAAGTCATAGGGCCTTTGAAATAATATTGTTGTCGACAATTAGGAGGTTGAGAACCACTAGTCTAGATATAGCCATAATCCTGATCATGAACGTTTTGTTTGTTTGTATTGACTCCCCAGGTTCATGTACTGGTCGGATTGGGGAACGCAGGCAAAGATTGAGAAAGCTGGAATGAACGGGGTGGATCGGCAGGTTCTGGTTTCAGAGAGGATCGAGTGGCCCAATGGGATTGCGCTCGGTAAAACCTTTTGAAAGTTTTGCAATTAGGTTCCTCCATTCACAACGAATGTATTCACATCTTCAAATATAGTCAGAGAAACACACACTAGAGAATAGCAGAAAAGACAACAAAACATAAAAGAGAAACAGCAGAAAGCAAAACAAAGCATACCATACTAAAAAGCTGCGTTTGCCATCATTACAAGACACCAACCACAATACAAGAGAAGAAAGAAAAAAACATTAGGATTAAGAAAGACCAAACAAACACAGAGGCAGAAGGAGAAGAAAGGGTGTTAATAATGAAGAGCAGCCTCCTGTGGCCAACAGGCCTTTGAATCATTCACCTTCATTGTTCCTCATAAATCACTCGTCAGTTTGGAAAAAACTAAATGGAATTGCTCAAGCAACGCTGTCAATATCGCCATCATTTCCCCAGCTCGCTTAACATAAAACCCATTTGAAAAAGCAGTTATGGATAGAAAAAAGTTATTGACAAAAAAGGTTGAATTGAGAAAATTGCTTTCTCTGTATTGAAACAAAATATATTTTAATGGGAAAAAAAGCAAGTAACCTTGCAAAGCTGTAAGATTTTGAAGATATTTTCTGTCATTCATTGTGCTTTCAGTTGGGCCTTTCATTTCATTTCAAACTACCTTTATTTTTACTTGATATATGAAAAATAATAGAATATGAACTGAAGTATGAATTATCCTTCACATACTACCCACTATTCAATGCTTCATTTGACCACTCATATTAAATTAAAAGCATTTGTTGTATTATTAAAGCACTACATACAAAAGCTCTTTCATCTTCCAGATCTATCTAGTAGACGACTCTACTGGGTCGATTCCAAGCTTCATCTGATATCGAGTGTGGACCTGAATGGAGACAACCGTAGAGTTTTGCTGTCCTCCATGGATCATCTGGGACATCCCTTCGCCCTGACTCTTTTTGAGGCAAGCAAATTTTTCAAATAGTACTGACATTCTCATTCATATAGGCACAGATGAAGCGGAATTGACAAAAACAAGCCTTGAGATGTTTCTAAGCTTAGTTTGGCTTCATATAAACAAATGGTTTTGCTCACAGGGTGTAATTGAAGAACAAGGTACTCACTGTGAGACAGTAGCACTGGCAAGAGATGTATGGCTGTGGGTGCTTGGCACCAGCCAAAGACTCAAACCAAATTTTTATTTTGTCAGCTCCTTTGGCACCTGAAGGCAGGACCCAGTCCAAGCAATAGATAGCCTAATGCCCTTCATCAGGCCAGTTGATGAGCCAGCTTAGTACTTAGTAAGATAGAAACCTGGGGCCGAGCCCTAGAAAAAGGAAACAATGTGTTTTCTTCATTCTTTTACTTTTGTCCAGGGCATAAATAAATGTGATTGCAAAGCTGATAAATGAATGCTACATTTCTGCAGTAACCTTGAGCACAGCTGTTTATGTAGAGCATGAACAGCTGTCCTCTACTAGGCAAACTAAAACTCCGGTGCTTTCAGTTTGTTCTACTCCCGAGGTTGCTGTGGCCACTGACTGCGTACAAGGTTTCTTTGACAACAGTGGATAAGCTGGAAGTTTTAATAAGTTCATACATCAGGAAATGGTTGGGAGTTCCACGCTTCAGAGTGGGAGTTTATAGTAAAGGAATATTGCAGCTGCCAGTCTCTGCTTTAACCGAGGAGTTTAAGTGCGCCAAGGTCAGGCTAGAAATGACCTTAGTAGAGTCACGTGACAAATGTCTAAGGGAGGCAGCACCTGTGTTAAAAAAAAATAAAAAATCTGGTAGAAAGTGGTCAACAAAGAAATCTGTGGTAGAGGCAAAGGCTGCCCTTCAAATTGGGGATATCGTGGGACAGGTACAGTATGGAAGGGTGTTGGGCTCAGTTTAGCTCCTCCTAAATGGCATAAGGCAGGCCCAGCTCAAAGGAGGAAGCTGGTAGTCAACGAGGTGCGAAAGCAAGAGGAGAGCATTTCCCAGGCCAAGCAGCGAGAGTGGATGAGATGGGAGAGTGTGGAACAATACAAGATGGGCTGGCAAGACCTTTGGTCAATGGAAGAGAGTAGGATCAGTTTCAGGTCAACATATAATGTTCTCCCATCACCACAGAACCTAAACCTCTGGGTAGGAGAAGCTCCCTCTTGTCCTGGCACATTTTGACAGGATGTAAGGTGCCTGTTAGCCAAGGTCGGTTTACTTGTCTTGTCACCATGACCAAGTACTGCGATGTTTGACTTTGGCATTGGAAGGCAAGCGTAAAATGACCAATAAGTTGCCACCTGTTCTAGCAAAAAATTACACACAGAAGACAATATTCCTCCGCCCAGGCGAGCAACCACCAAGAAAAGGTGGTAAAACCAATTCTCGCCAGGACAACTGGAAGCTACTAGGGACTAGAAGATGCTGGGTGATCTTGATCAATGGCTTATTTTTCCACCTGAGATTGCCACCACTAACCTCCGACCAGATATTGTTTTGTGGTCTGGATCAGCACGCATTGTTCAACTGATAGAGTTATATGAGAGGAAGAAACTGCAGTATGCTCATCTGGCCACTGAAGCAGAACAGTGAGGATGGAGAGTCCAGGTTTATCCAGTGGAAGTGGGTTGTCCAGGATTTGTGGCACACACTACAACCCGGTTCCTCAGAGACGTCGGATTCAGTGGCCAAGAGTTGCGTCGCACAGTAAATAACTTATCTGAAGCAACAGAAAGGAGTAGCAACTGGCTGTGGTTGAGACGGAAATATTCTGGCTGGCTGTGTACAGGCCGCCACGCTATGCTTTCATAGACTTCTTGAAAAACTCGAAGAGTCTGTTGGTTTATTTGTATAGTTTGCATACAGTATTAATTACAGTCATTACATTCCTGTGTATATTGCGTGAGTGAGGGTTGGTGTTTGAGCAGATATTGTGTTTTGCGGTAAGTAGTATGCCATACGGAACCGTTGCCACTGAACCTACTTTAACGAAGACAGTGGGGCTTGACAGCCTTAGTCAAACGCGTTGACGAATATGGTTGGGTTGCGGAGAGATTGTAGTTAGGTCACATGTGAACTACGAGAAAGGAGCAACCTCAGCAGCAGGAGGGATGTAAAGGTCAGTAGAGTTGAGTGGGGGACGGAGGGGTTGACTCTGGGACGTCAGAGTCATAGTCGAGCCCTCTTGAGGTGTTGTGGGCTAGTCAACGAAACACCGAGGACGTAAGGTGCCCACTTGAAGTCCCTACAGATGTCCCCTGCTTGGCTCAATCTAGACGGTTGTGGTGCTGGTCGACTGGGGAGACCACACTTACCCCTTTTCCTCCAAAAAAAGAACTGGTTCAGAACTGGTGCTGGTTCAAAGTTGGTTCGGAGTTGGTTCAACATGCGAACCACTTCAGAACCTATTTGTTTTCCCACTGACTAGAGCACCCAGGGAACGACGTCGTTACGTCACTGTGTACGTCGCCATACGTCTTAGATAGAAACGCTTGCAAATACAACATTACTTTAGGATTATCTCTAACTCGTATACCAAGAAAGCTTTAAAAACAATTGAAATATGTAAGTCTTTTAATCTTTTCGTTTGATATGTAATTTTTTCTGATAAGTTATGTACCCCTGTAATTGTGTCTTTTTTTCTTTCTATTTATTTGTTCTATATTGTGACTTTTCTTCTTTGCTTATAATGTCTTCAATAAAAAAATTACAGAAATAGAAACGCTTGCGTTAACTTCAAGCATATTACAAAGGCAGACTCCATCATGTTTCTGCAAATGTTTCTCTTGGCTTTGCGATCCTTTATTATGGTCAGAAAATGTTTAGAACACATCTAAACCCGCCCCAGCCCCCGGCGTAAGCATGACGTGGTAAAAGAACGGTTCTAGTCCAGCAAAGTGCCGCTTTGGAACCAGTTTTCTTGGCCGAGAACCGGTTCTTTGGCTGTCGAAACACAAAGAACTGGTTCGCGCGCAGGCACCGGCTCCGAACCGGCTCTCAAAATACTTTGGTGATTAGAATTAGAATGATTTCTGAATCATGTGAAGTAATGACTGTTGAAAACACATTTCAAATATACTGTATTAAAATAAAAAACAGTTATTTTTTTAATTTTATAATGTTTAACAGTATTACTATTTTTTATTACTTACTTTTAAATGGAAGTGTATATATTTTGCATGTATTTATTTAAATTCAGATAAGCATAAGTGAGAATGTGATATGAGAACTATGACAGAGGATTTTAGCAAGTTTGTTTATTTTAGTGACTTAAACTAGACAATACTGGACCTCACATATTGGCTTCCGACACGGCAGACCTTAAATTGCATACACGAAATTTACTCCATTTTTCAGTCACCTTTTCAGACAATGTGTGACCTTTACATTGCCCTGTCTCATAAAACAGACCAATATCTCTACACCAGCTTTCAAATTATTTCATTGGTTAGTGGGCAGCATTGAAAATGTCAAGACAAATCCAGTCCCACAGGGATAGTTGCTTCTTCTTCCCAAATGAAGCGAATACTATGATGAAAGGTTTTAATAAAGATGCTCCCCACACTCAAGGAGTACAAATTTCAGACGTAGACATTAGAAGCCAGCCTTTTGTGTCATAGATTAAAGCAGTTATCTACTGTACATCAGATATGGGGGCTTCGTTGCCCGTGCATTAGATGAGGTCTGCAATGCGGCAGAATTTAAATGCTGTCTTGTCCAAATTAAGGAGTCCTACTGATCAGCTGCCACCAGCAGAAGCACCTGATGGAGCTCCTTTGGGATTCAGCAGCCTGACCTTTCCGAAAAAAGCACAGCTCTGTAAACATCCTCTAATACTTGGAGCCAGCCGATCTCTTGGGCATGCTCAGTCCGCTCCATCTTCTTTTCTTGCGCCCTCCCCTCATTTTCTTTTGTTACCCCAAGAACACCCCATTCCAAACTTCCTCATCCGTCCGTTTGAAAAGGAGATGAATGTCAGGTTGTCATAGTAACAGCCCCATCTCACCATGCACATTTGCAATATTTCTGTAGCGGCTGATAAGGACTGTTTAGAGGAGGGAGGCAGACGGAGAATGGGAGAATGTTGAAAGTGGTATTGTCAGATAGTCATGCGCGTGCTTTCCGGCTCATGTAAGTGTAGATGCAAAGAAGAGATAGAACTGCGAGCTTTAATTAGTCTGATGAAAAGGCACAGGAGCCTTTATCTTCATTGTCATCTTCCTCCCTTTCTCTCCTTTTTGGTGTATTGCATACATAAATACATGACCAACCAAACACACCTGCTTTTGATTCATTCTATCCAAGTGTATTTTGTGTCCTGTGTATTGGTATTAAAGGGCTGAATCGGAACCCATTGCTAATCTCACGGTAGCAGGTGGTTTTACCTTTACTTGCGGGCGGTCACAAACAAGAACAGAGTCAACAAATTCATTATTTAATTCTTTCGTTAAGAACTTTTCATGTTTTTTAGTATTATTTATTTTCCTAAATAACAATTTGCATTTATTCTTTTATCCACACTTTTATCCAAAGCCACTTGTATTCAACATGTACATGTTCTGCTTGTGCAGAATTCACATTCTGTATGTTTCTACAGGACCGGGTTTACTGGACAGACTTGGAGGATGAGGCCATCTACAGTGTGAATCGACTGACAGGGCATGATGTGGCAATGCTGGCTCAACATCTCAACAACCCGCTGGATGTGGTGGTGTTCCACGAGCTCCGGCAGCCTAAAGGTAAGAAATAGGTGTAATGCAGGTAAACGCAGCCAAACGACTTTACATCATAAGCTGAACACTGGTGGGGAGTAGTAACTAGGAAAATGCAACTTTTTTTCAGCTGTGTGACAGTAAAAATAAAAAAATACTGTAGCTTTTCTAATAAAAAGCTTATTCTGTTTATATCTAACAGTTAGTGGTTTATTGTGATATAAAACTCCTTGAATGTTCTGTCAATTATTTTTAGGATTTTTTCTTGTGATTTTTATTTGATTTCATTTACTGATTTTTATTTACTGATTTATCTCATTGTTTTTGTGCCTGATTAAATGTTCTCTACCATTCCTAAAGCATAGCTTGAATATAGTTACTTAACTACTTATAACTACTTTCAATTATTGAGTAGTTTGAAACTGACACATGTTTCATTATTTATAAATCAGCATTTTTTAGTATAGGGAAAAATGGGCATAGGTACACCATCTTCACACATACGAAAAAACAGTGATATTGTGAAATATTATTACAATTTAAAATAACTGTTTTGATTTTAAATATATTTAAATGTATTCCTGTGATTGAAAAGCTGTATTTGTTGAAAACTGCTGCTAAATATTTTTGGGAAAACCATAATACATTTTGTTCTCTAATGAATATAAAGTTCAAAAGAACAGCATTTATTTAAAATAGAAATCTTTTGAAACAATCTAAAAGTCTTTACTGTCATTTAAAGGCTTCCTCGCTGAATAAAAGTATTATTTTCTTTAAATTTGACCCCAAACTTTTGAACAGTATAGTATCTTTCAGTCTGTTTTATGCATTGAGCTCAATAGCCAGTGATAGATGTTTTAATGCATTAAAGAACTCGTATCATAAGGAATCAAATTAAAAGACTTGAAACACTGAGAACTCAAAACTTCCTCTCCAGTCTGAAAAGACGATTTAAAAGACTGGAGATGATTTTTTTTTTTTTTTTTTTTTTTTTTTTTCTTAAATGTCGCTGGATGGATGTAGTGCTAATGAAAAATATCCAGTTGATGTTAATCTGGCCCTGGAATGTGTTGTGTTTGATTCTCTTTTGGCTCGTGCGCAGTCTTCAAACAGACGAGCGTGTCAATCTATCGCGTAATGCTGGGAATCTCTATTGTTTCAAAACAAAATGCACACAAACATGTTCGTGATCTTGATATACAATCATTGATGAACATCTTTGATTTAAATGAGGAGATAAAAAAATATATGAGGGCAGATTGGATTAGAACTCGAACCTCTGACATGCTTAACAAACATTTTACCACCAGACCGTTAGGGAATACGAATGCTAATCACAGACCTATGTAACCAATTTATTCATTAACTTGAAGAATCTCAGGACTAACAATATTTTATAGATACAACAGATGCAAGAACTAAACTATCACATGAAAACATTAGTTTTCGCCACTGCTCATTTCAAATATACAGAGGCCGCTCCAGGTACAGTGGCAAAAATGCCTGCTTAATTCATCTAATGCCTCTCACAAGCTAATAGAAACAGCTGTATTATTTTCACAGTGTCACCATTTTAGCATTGTTATAATGATTAGAGGCATATCTTTGCTGACTCCCCCCCTAGTAATAGTGGTCCTATCATTGAATAGCATATTTATGGGGAATTGTTATTCTAGAGACAGGCAGAGAAAATGAAAGAGGCTGTTTGCGTGTGTGTCTGCAGATTTGGATTCTTTGTTTTCATCCTTAAATCACAAACAGACCACATGCGGTGTGCCAGCAGAAGAACCAATTTACAGACTCCTTACATTAATAAATGAGAAGTGCTATTTAAATCTAAATCAAGGAATTAAATGTGTTGCTCTGAAAATGCAAACGAAGGCAGGAAAACACACTTACGCTGAACGAGAAATGATGAGAATGGAATCCAACCGCTTTTTTAACTCAAGTGCCTCTGAGTGAAATATTAATCAGCTTTGAATCCCTGCAAAACTTGATTTTATGAAAATGTTTCTTAAGGAAGACATTTAACGTTATTGAATTAAAGAGCTTTCTTAGTTGTTTATAGAGCTAAACAAACTTTCATATGGATTTCCATGCAATGCTGTATTTGTTCAAATGAAGACTTCAAAAGAAAATCAATTTCTGTTATTTTGATATATTTGTATTAAACCTATACTTTTATCAACCCACAGACACACACATGCAGGAATGCATTTCTCTTTTTTGAGACAGTTTCTCAAGCCCACTAATTCATGATTTGTCCATGTTTGCATACACTGTAGGCTTCCATACACGTTACAGTAGAAATGCATGATTATTGACCGTTGTTAATGTTGCATTTTACATATAAATCTCTTCAAGGGTATATTAATTCTGGTGTTTATTTGTGTTAAATTACACTCTTCTAAACTTTTTTGCTTTGTCAACGGTCTTTGTCTCTACAATGCCTAAAATATCTAAAGCTGTTCACTTCACAGGTCCCCTACACATTGTTCATTATATCAATGTACATAAAAAATAGTAGCTCAAATATTAGTATTAAGATGAAATATAAAGTTAAAATAGATTTCCATACTTAAATGTATGCACACATACCAGTTTGCTCTCAATATATTTTAGTTTTTTGAAATCTCTTACGCCCATCAAGCATCCAGTCTTCATTGTCACATGATCCTTCAGAAATCATTTAGTGTGTACACACCATGTCATAATTGCTGTAATTATGAGATTGTATGAGATCATATATTAAATATTTATATTTATATAATTTAGATTATGTATTTATATATATATATACAGAATTTAGGCGCGAATTATTCTTAAATATATATATATACATGCATGCATAGGTATTTATATATACAAAATAATTATATACAGCACACACAAATATGTTATGTAAACACAGATTTTTTTTTTTGGATGCGATTAATCGCAATTAATTTTTGCTCAGCCCTAATAATAAGGTTACATACGTTGTCTAAAGAGAGGTTCTCTCGCACAAGTTGCTTATGCTACGAGAACCCCATGTCAACGCGTGAAAACCGTGGAACAAAACATGTCGAACAACATGTGGCCAACACATGTAATAGACACTTGATAGGAACACAGAGCGGCTTCGCCGGTCTATGTATAAACATAGAATAAAGGCGGCCAGCAACGCGGGTCAGCACAGTTCATAAGCACATAATAAGGCAGATAATAGAATGGCTCCGCCGGGCTATAGAAAGTATTACCCCTTCGCGCAGATATATGGGAATAGGCGGGCAGCAAAGCGGGCCCTCATAGGTATACCGCCGCGTCACATTCGACACACTCAATCTCGCACATTGTCGAGTGTGCTCGCGGCGTTCGCTTCGCTTTAGTCCAGTCTGGCGCCTCAAACACACACACCAGAGAAAAAGGTTTGCAGGTGCTATAGCGGAGAGAGAGTTTACTTGCATGGAAATCGCTTCAGTGAGCTCAATTAGGCTATAACACCACATTTTATTTTCATTGATGGTAACAGCATTGTAACGGGGGAAACAGTAATTCGTTTGATTACTCATTACTGAGAAAGATAACGCCGTTTATGTATAACACCGTTATTCCCATCACTGGCCGGGATGATAGAATTTACGTCATTACGCGAGGACATAAAAGAACTGGTCAACCGAACTGTTCGAAAGAACCGGTTTTTAACCCCTCATTTATATACGCTAACCACTCCCATTCTGGCGGGCTGTGACAAATTTTTGCAATTTGTCATACTCAAAACCCATGAATGAATTTATTAATATCCATATCCAATTTATACCCATGAACAACTGCATAGAAAACAATTTTGTGGTAAATTAAGCTGAATAAATACACTGAACCCTCAACTATTTATTTCCAAACCTCATGTGGTACAACTTTCACTTACACTTTATAGTGTTTTTTCAATGTGAATTAGTCTTAATAGTCTCATGCTAATATTTCAATGTCTGTGTTCATATACAGTACTACTATGCAACCATCCCAGAGCCTAATACATCAGAATTAAAGAAGTTTTTCCTCTTTAGCTCCAGACACATGCAACATGGGAAGTTTGCCCAATGGAGGCTGTGAGTACCTGTGCCTCAGAGCTCCTCAGATCACAGACCACTCGCCCAAATACACATGTGCCTGCCCCGACAGCATGGAACTGGGCCCGGACATGCGCCGCTGTGTGACAGGTAACAAAATACAGAGCCCTTGGTCAAGGTTTCACATACACAAGAAACAAACTTCTACTGATTCATGATTATGAGTAGATTTTGAGAGTCGAAGGTTGTGATTTAGAAAGACTGAGGAGATTACAGGAAGATTCAACTTCCGTTGTTTCTAGGAAGCACACATCTGACTCTTCCATCATATCTATGTTGTTTTTTGTAGTCAAACCCAAAACGACAACTGCTGCAAGTACAACAACACCACCAGAACCTTCTACTGCTGTGACCCCTACAACCACCATTCCAACTACATGCACCAGTGCACTTACAACCACCAGTACAATCACTACAACTACACCTACTATGACAGTATCAAGCACAACCACCAGCAGCCCCAGCACATCCACTCATTCCAGAACACATCTTTCCACCACCACACACTCCAAGGCCACTTTAACAACTGTGACCACTCAGCCCAGCACTACAGCGCCATGGAAACAACCAACCTCCACTCAGACGGCAGCAGATCACAGACAGACATCTACAACCATTTCCCATGGCAACAGCATACAAGGGGCCAATGCCAATCTCTCTCATCGAGGTGAGTTTGAGCTTCTGTTTTGCGTTATGAGTCAGTGACATGATGCTCTTTTTGTCTGTATAAATCATACAATGACTTGAGTTCACCTCTACTTTTGTATGCATAAAATGGGAATTTATATCATAGAGACATTAGGCAAAGCAATATGATTGTGTGTATAGATCAATATGTATCAAAATATCAGATCATTTGATATTTTTTTAGACAAGGAAAGGTATTCTGGGTTGTAAAATGTCATGTGATTGAGCTCTGAAAAAATTGAATGAATTAATAATTAAAACTAAATACATCTTAAAAATATATATTTTACAACCTTTTGAAAACATTTTTGAATTTGAGGTATAATAAAAAATGTACGTATAGTCGATGGTTACACCATGTGACATTTTTATTATGTCATTTAAAGCAGCACTATGTAACTTTTTCAACCTTTATAATATTTTTCCAAAATCCTGGAGATGGTACATCGACTTACAATAGGTTGAATTGACCATAGCCTGACAGTGTCTGTATCGCTTTTACTGGCACTATGCACTAAAAGAACTTCAAAATTCAACTGATTTACAGCATACATCACTTCCTCTAATTCCGAAGCGAGAGCCCAACAAGTTTTTTAACCTCTGTATGTTGTCATGGCTCCGGTCTGGTTCATCCCCGCCTAGCAAATGTAAAGTGCTTTAGAAACAGAGCACGTGCGCCATCAGTTTACTGTTGGTGATGTGTTTTGTCCACATCCAATGTCGACTGCATTGCTTTCTTTTGAGGGCGCTTAACACACTCAAGCATCCCCGTAGAGCCGGGGAGGGCAGCTCGCACGCCAGCTCGAGACGTGAAAGTTACTGAGTTTGGTAGGAGCTACATTCTTGCAAGTAAATAATACATAATTAGACAGACAAAATAATCGGTCAGGATAACTATGTCTGCAGACTGATAGTCATGTTTGTTATTTATTTTTCTGGTGAAAGTGTCTTGCCTCAGGCTATAATGCAAATCGATTTTTCAAATTTGCAGATTCATCATCCAAGGGTACCTTGATATTATAATATTGACGATATGGGTATTATCTATCACACAAACATTGAATTGAATTAGCATATCCATTATGTAAAACAGTAGCCAATAGGCTAACGTTACTATAAAGTCGCTGGCTTGTAAACGTGAGCTATGCGAACTTTTGACGTTTGAAAAAAATAAGCCCATGAAACTATATTCAAATGATATGCTGAAATATATGCCAATGTACCTGGGATGAAGACATTTCACACGCAACGCTGGCAGTCTGCCCAAGATGTGAGAACTCCTTCCTTCTGCAGAGTTCGGGGATATCGCTTGTCAACAAATGCACGCGTGTATTCCCTAGTGTAACCATGACAGGTTTTACGACAGTAGTAGAAGACAATACTGTTTCCCAACTGTAGGGGACTTACAACTGTAGGGGACTTCCCAACTGTAGGGGACTTAACTTTTCTTAAAAATGGTATAAATGTTTTTCAAAATCATGAAAGCATCAAAAGTTTGGAGTCAGTGTGTTTTTTTAATGAATGCTTTTATTTATCAAGAAATAAACTGATCAAAAATGAGAGTAAACTATTTCAAATGCTTTCATTTGTTGTGTTGAACCTTCTATTCATCAAAGCATCCTGAAAAAAAGAAAAGATCACAGTTTTCAAAAAATATTAAGCAGAATTGTTTTGTACATTGATAATAATAAGGATATCCAATATTGGATCATCAAATCAGTATATTGGAATGATTTCGGAAGGATCATGTGACACTGAAAACTGGAAAATTCCCACTTTGTCATCACAGTAATAAATTAAAGTTTTAAAATATATTTAAATACAAAACAGATCTTTTAAATTGTAATACTATTTTAGAATATAACAATTTGTACTGTCTTTTAAAAAAATAGAGACTTACTTAAAAACTCTTACCAAGCCCAAACCTTTGAAACAATAGCATATACGTATTTGACCCTTATGTAAATATTCATAGAACTGTTGTATAAAACCAATATCACATGAATGTGTTATTGTACTGAAATTCAGCACTGCTGATATTCAGCTGAAGGCATGAAGCTTAAATGCGTGCTCTCGTGTAGTACTTAAACAGTAATCGTCAGAGTCTGTGAAAGTTAATGTGTGGTGGAATTTGCTTTGCCGAGCATCGCCGGGCCACTTGAGAGTGATAGATGAGGCAGCAGTAGTCGCCCAGGGTCCCAGGGTGTGTCTGAGCTGAATTAGAGCAGCCAGCCCTGACTGATGAACATTGCCCTCAGCCTTGTTCCTCTCCACAGTCAGTGTTTTTCTCTCACCCCCCACAGCCACGGGGCGATGTGTGGGGACGTCCAGGTACACGGCCACCTGGACACAGCAGGCAAAGGGCATTCGTGACTTCAGTAATAGGATCTACATCCATGAAGTCCTTCACAAGTTTGTTGTCTGTCAAGTCTTTGTCAAGAAAGATAGAAAAACAACCATTTTAGTCGCCTTTTACCCCCAGCCCACAATCAAAGTGCAGAAGTGGCCATTCTTGAAGCTAACCATAAATTTGGTTCTTGCATATTTTATGAGCACCAGCATATTATACGGCAGAAGTTGTGAAACTCGCCATTAGATAAAACCTGTAAATTGCTGCACTGAGGTAGTGATGAATTATGCCAGCACCTTTTCTGCCTTTTATGGCTGCTTGCTAATAAAGACAAAGAGTGGTCTGTAGATTCTTAGAGAATTCTCCTAATAGTCCAAATAGGACTAAAAAAACAGAAATACTTTTGTTCAAAGTTTAAAGATTTTTATTTATTTTATTTTTATTTATTTTTTTATTAAAGAAATATTTTAATTCAGCAAGGATGCAACATTGATAAAAAAATGAAGCATTGCCATCATATATATATATATATATATATATATATATATATGATGGCAATGCTTCATTTTTTTATATATTACATTTTCATATATATATTAAAATAGAAAACAGTTTTTTTTTTTAATTGTACAATTATTTCAGAATTTTTGGTTAAATTAATGCAGCTTTGGTGAGTTTGAGATTTAAAAAATCTTGCCGACCCCATTATTTTGAACAGTTGTGAATGTGCAAACACAGCAGCTGAATCTACCTGTAGTATTTTGTGAAATATATCACATTTTGTGCGAAATGATCAAAAATTATGGGTTGTAAATGTACGCGTGTCAGCAGTATTCACTGCTCATAATGGATTTTGTCAGTATCACCTGTTACAGGTGAATTGCTTACAGTTTCCAGTTAATGAGCCATCTTTTCAGAAATATGGCTCTGAATAATGCTTTTGTGGATTTGATAAATTGTTTATCATGAAGGGAAATTCAATACTCTTTTAATGGAAACAAAAAAACATCCACTTAAACAAGAACTATACAGTATATGGAGACAGAAGCTGATTATTCAAATGAAGTGTTGCCATAGAAACCCACATGTCAGTGGTATCCCATTAATAACATGCTCACTGTAGCTTTAAGAGTCCATTTTTGACGATATGTTTTTTTTCATTGCCTTTCCCTTTATTTGCGATCATTACTGTCTATACTGCATTTCTTTTGTTTCGTACCGATTTTCCAAGCCCCCTTTTTTATCCCTCAGACTATGTTGTCTGTATCTGTATGCCAATGATGTACCATCTAGTCCTCTTAATCTCTCGGCTCAGACTCCATTATCAGACACTAATTATGCGGTAGCTAATGGAGGGGCTTGCACTAATAGTGAGATTGAGGTAGGATTTATTTGGTGGAAACCTTAAGAGGGCAAGCAACAGTGTAAAGCAAAGTGGTATATGATTAGCAATATAAGGCCTTGGGCAAGATATCAAGGTAATTGGTCACTTTATACAAACTGCAGAAGATGCATCTAAATGAAAATGGTGATGACAAAATACTGTACCTGAGTTAGTATTTATTTTTATGCTATACAGGAATTCAAAAATTCAGTCAGTCATTTACTCAAGTCTCAATGATTGTGGACAACACAATGCAGACATTTTAGATGACATGATCTGTTATGATCTTGTGATTAAATGGAAAGTTAATAGTGTTTCTCTATTGTTGCCCATCTTTCTCTTTCTCTCTACTTTCTCTTTATATTACAGCTGGCAGTGGAAATGATCACTTCCTCCTTGGTAGCAATATAACTGTTGCGGTTCTGGGTATTGTCATTCCAATAGGTGAGTTTTACAGTTAATGCATTTTTAATTCAGCCTTGTTCACCTAGTAGATACACAGCTTTTGCTTTTCAGCTTAATGTGCGCTACTTGCTTTGGAGACGCTTATTGGTGGTCTTAACTAGCCATTTATAAACTTACTGCTGCTCCATTCATCTTAAAATTCCAGGTTAAATACGACTTCAGTGCTATCGACTCTGGAAAATAATTTCAACTCATTTGAGTTTGTTAAAACAAAGAAAAATGTGTGTACAGTATAGCTCTTAAAACAGTTCCATGATGTTACATCAGTGTGGCAACACAATTTTCTTCACTTTACAAGCACATTATTCATAAAACAAAACTCTTATCTTAATAATAAATATCTATTCTAAAAGATTACTTAGAATAAACTAGTAAAAGCTTTTTCATGGTCACATTACTTACAACACGTGGTCATTCTAATCTGTCAATTGTTATTCTGGCATGGTAATCCATGTTAAAGACACGCATCTTTGTAAGTTTAGACATTTAGATGTGATTTATTTGTATGAATTTGGAATCAATTTTTATTGAAAGAATTAAATGAAGTTGCTTGTTGCCTCGAAACAACATTGTGCGACAGTTGATGACATTTATTAAGTCACTGGTTTAAAATGGTTTAATAGCTTTCGTCTGTTTTTTAACATTTGTTATTTTTTGAAGCAATAAAAAAATGTATAGTCACTCAATGTCATTATAAATATTATATGAATAAACCTTTCTTTCAACTTGCCTATAAAGGAACCTCCCAAATATTATTTTCCCAAAATATTTTTTTAGTAATGAAGTCCAGTTTATACAAAAAAAAAAAATTCAATTCAACTTTTTAAACATTGCTTTCATAATGTTAATCAATTATTTGAATTTTGAGCTATAGACCATTTTGCAAGATGTAAACAAAACTGGTCCAGAAGCACCTGTTTCAGTTCCTGTAACACTACATAAAAACTGTGATAAAATACAACCAACAGAACATATAACTGAATCAAAAAGATTTTTTCTTTACATGTGAAATAAAGAAAACAGTTACAAACTGAAACAGGAAGTGTTTCTGGACCAGTGTTGTTTACATCTTGCAAAATGGTCTATAGTGTCTAAATTGTCCTTTTGAGTTGATGATGAAAAATTTTTGCTGTATAGATTAAAATTTTGCACATGTGAGGCTGATAAATGTTTCGCTAGTCTGAATGTGGTTATATTTCAGCAGTTCCATATCTCGAACTATTATCATGATGCGGTACCTATTCACCCCATAGACTTTTTGGAAGAGCTTTACTGTACATTACTCCATCCACAAATTATGTTGATTTAGCTTAACTTGAATTTAAAATTAAAGAATTTATTTCATACATTACAGTATTGTACGTTTAAAAAAATTGTGCTCTTTATGAAATTAGTGCTTTATAAATGGTTATTTTTGCTCCTACAAAGAGAAGTGTCACTCATGCATTTTGATTTTTGTGATCATTCTCAGTTAGTTTATATACATCATCCTTTTGACTGTTTGATTGAACTAAACAGTATATGTAAATGTATATATCTCAAAGTCTCTGTCAAAAGGACCTGATGGGCTTCATTGATTGTCTGAGCTGTGTCTGTTGAGTGGCTTAGTGGGATTGAATTGACCTTGTCTGTGCTCATATTCAAGTGACAGTCACTAAATGAAATACCTTTCCTCCAAAAAACATTTTTTTTTAAAAAAAGCTCGTGTTATTATGGTCACTCTGTCCGCCCCTCTTATCTTAAAATTTTTACTTTTTTCTAAATCCTTTCTTTTATTGTAGTTTAAAAAAAAAAAAAAGACAGATTGCAATCCAAGTGTTTATAGCCAGACAATAGAACCTGAGTGATGGAGGAAAACACATCACGAGGAGGTCTCTGCAGCCCCCTCAGACAAAAGAGCAATTAGGGCGAACTTCCAGGGGACCAGAGCAGCCACAGACGATCTTTTAAATTAGGGAAGGGGTTAGCCAGCCACACATGGTTATTAATTCACCCTGAACAGCAATGCTCTCCCCCCAACCATTCGCATGTAGGCGTGTGTGTGCATACACACAGTCCAATTCGATTTCTCCTGGTCCCCTTAGACTCCTGCTTTCTCAATGAGCTGCATGCGAGCACCCCCTTCACATATTCCACTAAGCCTGTGTTTGTGTGTGTGTGTGTGAGAGAGAGAGTAAGTGAGTCGGAAAGGTATGTCTTTGGCAGCCCTAGTTCAAATATACATATCAGCTTTTTTTAAAGTAGCTTTTTAAGTAGTTATTTTGATAGTGATATGATCAGACTTCTTAAAGTATGCATACTAATATTCAAAAGTTTGGGGTCAAGATTTTTCAATGTTTTTGAGAGAAGTCTCTTATGCTGACCAATACATTTGTTTAGTAAAAAAAAAAAACATATTTAAAATAATGGTTCAAAACAGGTCTGTTTTGATATATTTTAAATTGTAATTTATTTTTGTGATAGCATAACTGAATTTTTAGCAGCCTTACACTCAGAAATCAGTCTAATATGCAGATTTTCAAAATAACATTTCTTATTATTATCTATTTTAAAAACATCTGTACTGCTTAATTTTGTGGAAACAGTGATACGTTATTCTTAAGATTATGTGAAGAATAGGACGTTCAAAATAACAACATTTAGTTGAAATAGAAAGCTTTTGTAACATTATAAATGTATATTTTCAACTTACAATATTGCTTGTTATCTTTTTTATTGTATGTGAAACAATATGCATACTTAATTGTTGCCACATATCCTCACTGCATTGCATTTTTGATTCAGTTATCAGAAATAAAATCCAGCTTCTCTTAAACTCAATTTAATTGAACTTAGTTTATAATCATTTAATACTAAATTTGAATGCCTTAGATTTTGTTAACAGGGTTACAAAAACTGCAGACCCAATAGAAAATAAACTAATCAGGACTCAAATTCTTTCTCAGATGAAGCACACCAACATTTCTTCGCTGAGCATTTGTTAAAAAAAAAAAAATATATATATATATATATATATATATATATATATATATATAGTATAAGAATAAAAATATAAGATAATAATTTTTAAAAAAAAGTTTCATGCCCAATTTTACCCAAACTCTAATACATACGTTTATTTAGCATTTTTTAATTAAATGTTATACTGTCTTCCATCCAGAAAATCCACATAAAGCACACACAATGCATATTGCTGATATATTATGAGCAGGATAGAAATATGCTCTTTTGAGCATAGTGTATTTTGTGCACTGCTATCATTTGAGAAATCCATACATATTTGTCTTACTCTCCCCATATTTGTTGTTTTAGAAATGATTTTAATAAAATCATTTGACCTTGGTCTGCCATGATGCACCTTGAGGTTTGAGTGAGTGAGCTTGTATATGTGTGTGTGTGTGTGTCATTATGCGCTGCTCTGTGTCCCCTGGCTGTGTTAACGCCCCTGCCATATGTGTTGGCTGTGTGTTAAACGCATGCAGTTCCTATCCTTGCCACAGTGGTCATCGGCCTGATGTGTACCGGAGGTTACCTGGTGTGGCGCAACTGGAGGAGACGGAATACCAAGAGCATGAACTTCGATAACCCCGTTTACCGCAAGACCACGGAGGACGACGACGACGAAATCCACATCGGCCGCAGCGAGCAGATCGGCCACGTCTACCCACCAGTGAGTGGCAGTGCCAGACAGCCATACCTAGCACTGCCACTGGGGGGCAGTATCCCAGACCCGGCAGCTCATTGGTACTCAGGGGCACCTATGCTGTCCAGTGCAAAGTGAACAAAGGGAGGAAGGCAATAGTGATAAAAACGCAGGCGGGGCTAAGACAAAAATCCCTAAGAGGGCATTATGATGCCTCTTTTCTCACTCATATTTGTACTCATAATTCACTACACATTTTCATTCAAATGTCTGTTTAATTCATTTGTGTACGGATTACCATGTGAAGTTTAATTAGTTGTCCGTTTGTTTTCCATAGGCTGCATTCTAAATCACATACTCTCCCAGTAGGTACTTTTTTAATAAAAGAAATAGTTACGTAATGACCGTTAAAAATACCTTCTATATGAATATATGTGTGTAGTATGAATTTAACCTGGACATACTACATTCGCCACATTATCATTATTTTTATGACCTACCAGCGTCAGTCGCTTTACTTCATGCCATTCATAAATCCTCTCTCAATGCCTTTTGATGCACACTTCAGAATCTCACTGGAAATAGAAGGTCATCATCACATACTGTTTATAGTAGGGAAGTATGTTATTTTGGATGCAGCCATAGTCTTGTTTTTTCGTGTTGTGTGTGTAAAGCTTTAAATGCTTTCCATGTTTGAAAGCTTTGAAATTGTGCTCTCCTATTATCCCATAGTTGGTGTGTTTTTATTTATTTAATTTTTTAGTATAATTGTTTTAGGGATGAGCAATGAGCACCTTAAATGACTGGACAATCTTTTAATATTTTAGCATTGATTTATTTATCTAGGTGTTTTGCTGTTTAGGTGTTATATTTATTTGGGTAATGAAATGATTCATTCATATATTCACGGGGCCTGGGCTTTAATAGTAAACAGTTAGTCAGATGGAGGGATTATAACAGTGTGTGTTGAGCTTCCTGTGCTACAGTCGACATGTCAAGCACAAGCAGAGATAAAGACATCAGTCGTGTGGCAGCAACAGTGCGGGCCGCCCCAGTGGCATAACAGGATTCTCTCCAGCGCCCCACACGCCGCACTCGTCACAGTGTGTGTAGGGGGATCTGCATATCGGATGTTTCTCCTTCTCCATGGGTTTTCTCGTTGTTTTCGATGTATTTATTTCTCTTGCTCTTTCTCTCAACACGTGTAACTGTTTTTTTATCTGCTCTCCGCAGCGCGTGGCGCTCGGTCCTGACGATGACGGATTCCCCTGAGGGCGATTCTCGCTCTTGTTCTCTCATTCTCCATCCCTGAATCCATGCATCCTTTAGTCCTACATCTCTCCTTCCATCAAGGAGATTGCATGAGACAACGCAGCAAGGCGCAGAGAGCCAAAAAGGACACAAGCACTTGCTCTCCACAGCCAAGAGCTACAAACTGGGTTTGTCTCCTCTTAGTGTCTTTTTTCAGCCCATAAACTCTCAGTCGGGCAATAATCACTAGTTCAACGATTAAACTACTAGCATCATTCCTGCTCTTTGTCAGTAGTAGTAGGCAGTGCTGTTTAATGATGACTAACCTCATAGCTCATCATGTCCGTAGGCACTAACACTCTTTGGCTCTCCCGCTGCTCTCGTGCTGTAGATCTTTTAAAATTAGAAATTAGCTGGTTTGAGCTGAACCTGTTGAAGAGAATTGTGGGCAATCCACAATGTCAGCATTGGAGATACATAGAAGTAAAATATGAAATAAAATGGAGATGGGGTGAGGAAAATTGATATTTGCAGACATTAAACCCAAATTCCGCTATGCAGCTGTTATGCATTCACCTAATCTAACAAATTAGTCTGTAATGTCCTCTCCTCCTAATACTTCCAATGCCATGACTAGTGTTCCTTCATGTCTTCCAATGGTCACTCAAATTCAGACTGGACCCTTCTGAAAGATCTGCAGCCACTATCTGGAGATGAGAGGCAATATATTTCCATATTTATTTATTCCACCAGCACTGGGTCTTCCATTTTTCTTAAGTTTCTAAGACCAACTTCCTGCCCAGGCAGGTTTATATCTCCAAAACCTCAGCTCAGGTCATCAATTTTTCTAAAATATTACCAGTTATTGCTACAATCTGTGTGGTTTGTTATCACAAACACACTAATAAATACGGTAGCCAGGGTTTGATAATGGCTGAAATGCTGTTTGTTCATATCTACAGTCTAGATCGCTCCCTCTCAGACATGCAAAAACACGTGCGCACACACTCTCTTTCTCTCTACCGAACACTAACGTGTCTTTTCCGCCCCTACATTCGTCATGCCTGGGGTAAAACTCTTCAGCATTTAGTATGCTGACAACAAGACACCGCCTGCCATATTGGGTGGCTTAATGATGTGATAGATTCGAGTCGTAGATCAAAGCTTTGCTCCTCTCTTCGGCGCATGGCACAGGAAATGAGGAGTGCCTGAATATAGGCTTCCTGTACAAACTCTCTCCATGTGATGAATGAGCACATGGTTATTTCTGTATCACTGTCAGAAGGACACTGACTGATTGGACAGATGCTTAAAAAGAACAGGTTTTGATCCACCTATGCCTGTTGATAAAAACCATCAGTTTCTTTGGTCAATTTTAACTGTTTAAAGGGGATTGAAGGATTAAAACAGTGGTTATTAACCTTTTTCACAGCAAGGCCCTCTTATCTAAACTGAAAAAAAAATGTCAGTTAAATGTTGTGCATCTTTATTTTTAGTGATTTTATTTTAATTGAGAACTGTAATATACCTAAATTTGGGTAATTTTAAGACTCACTGGAAGTTGGCCTGGTTGAGAACCACTGTTTTAGAGAAAGGCCATCCGAGCGTCATCAGATTTGCACCAATTTAAACCAGCTAAAAACCTTAGGCTGGATTTTTCTGCAGGGATTATAGCTTGGCATATGGCAGTATGTGTCTGTGTGACGTTATATCAGATAGTTTCAAAGTGCTAGTCATGTGAGTTGTCCTTAATTGGAGACTTCCGAAAGGCACTGCTGGGTCCCTAAGATGCTTATGTTTGGTTCTGGCTCGCATGTGGGTGGTTTCGCATCTGGAGTGGTTCTTTGTTCCCGCCACCTTTGCTCCTCTCTGCTGTGATGAGGCATCTTATGTGCGGCGCTTGTAAAACACCCCTCCACATTTCAAAGAATCCTCCATTAAGTCACTGTTTTCCATTAGGAATAGAGATAGTGTGGGAGTTTTGTTGTTCAGGCTTTTGTCCTGGAGGATTAAAGAACTGAAGTTTTCTCGTTCTCTGAATACGGTGGACTGCCGGATGGGCTTGAGAAGACATGATTTGGAGATAACAGGCCTAATATCAATATTATAGTTTATTTGATGAATCTTCATTCATCCTTAACCATTTCTCATATCAAAAACTGTGTGTTTACAGTATGGAAAAATACGGTAAATAGATTTTATACGTTTTTTTAATTGAAGTGATAACATTTTTGATTACTTTTACATATATCAGTTCTGAAAATGTGGAACTTTGGTTTTTGATTCGAAAATCTCAGACAATAGCAATACAGGGTAAACAAACTGCTTCATGTGCTTTTTCATAAATGTCATGACTCATAAATTATTTCATGATCATTATCAATTTGGTCTCTTCAGATGCACTCTGCTGAAAAACAAAAATTTTAAAGCGGCTTAATCATGTTTGCTCGTCTTATTAGCTCTGGTTTGCTGGTTTTAGAGGCATTTTTTAGATGCACTTACCTCCTGGTTTAGACTGGAAGACAAGCTTTTCGTCCAGGTGAACTAACTGGACATCATGATGGGAGACTGGTTTTAGAAGGGTTTTGAGCACATTCATGCTGGTCAGGCTGGGAGACCAGCTAAACAAACTAAAAACCAGGATAGCCAGACTGGAAGAACGGTTAAGACTAGCAAATGAGCTCAGGCTGTTTTAATCGTGGTTTATTTTTCTGAAGGGGAATCATGCACGTTTCTTTTTCCTGACCCCAACGTCATTGTTGTTATCAGGTGCTGCTCTAGAGTTAGCTAAAAAAAAAACTTTTTATGGAAAACTTTGTTACATTTGAGCTCTCTAGCTTTCTACCAACTGATCTCTTAGCGTATTATAATTTAGAATGCGTGGGACACATTTTTGAAAAATACATGCATGGTGTGATCACAGAAGGTTCTTTTAGACCCTTTGGATTTTCTGCCTCTTTGTAGATAACAAGCAGTACTTTGTGCCCGTCGTCCATCATTCTTACTCTATGCATATGTAACGGCGAGTCCTGCCTTCCTATAGCACTGCAGGGACTCGCCACGCTGCTCCTTCAGCCCACTTCCACTGTGACTAACATTCGTGATGTCTGTAACTCCTCTTCATACCTGTCATCCCCATCAGCCCGACAAGTAGGACATTGCTTTCGAAAGGGCTACCATTCTTTTCCAATGGACGATACGCTGGAACAGTGCTCCTTAGTTTGGTGGACTTGTAGAGCTGAACCACTTACTTTAAATGGATGAATCAGGTCCTCCACACCAATGGTAACATTTCCGTCTGTTTTCTTTGTGACCCCCCTAATGTGAGATCATGTTGTCATGATGTATATTACTTGAAGAACTGTTGATTTTTTTGTATGGTTTGTAGGTGTTCATTTTTAGGGGAGGGGGAAGGAGGGCATGTCATTACTGTCGTTTGAGGAAACGTGTGTCCCGGTCATTCCATGGGTTGTTTGGAGACATTTTGTACGCTGTTTGTTGCACAAACTTTTTCAAGAAGCCTTCTGCACTGTGTAAATGATTACATAGGATGGGGGAAGGATGACCGATACAGTCAAATGAGTCTGAATCATGATTTGTAAATATGTTTTCATACAGCGAAACTTTTGATAAGGTTTTAAACATTTCTTGTAAAAAGAAGATGTGTATATTAGTCTCCTGGATGAAAAAGAGTGTAGACCATACATGGATTTATTTGTACTCAAGAGCACTGGATTTATTTACTACTTGATTGTAACTAAAACTTAATAATCTGCCAAAGTGTTTTCATTTTATTTTTTCTCTTACCACTGGTCTGAATTTTATTTTTGCTTTTTAACCGTAAAGATTGCAGAAGTAGTGTTTAATTTGTGTTTGTACATTTATTTAATAGATAAATTAAATTGTAATTCTATTTAATAGGTTACACTCAGTGGTGAAAGAGAGGGTTAGTTTAATTTATTGGTGCCTTGTTTGTGTTCATGTATATTTTCCAATAATGTCTTGTTTTGTTTGCGTTTCTCGTGTGTGTCAGTGGGTTGAAGATGGTGGGAAATAGAGAGGGTGTTTTAACGGTAGCTAAATTATACTTACATGGAATATCTGTACTGTATGCCAAAATGGTCTCACTCACGTTTCTATGAAATTCAAGTTGTTGATAAATATCTATATATTGATATATTAAATTGTTTAAAAATCTTTTTTTTGCTCTTCGTCTCCTTGTCATTCCTCAGCATTTTTACAACAGCTCTCAGTTGTCTGTGGTATTGATCAAATGATGTAGAGTTTTCTGTTATCTTTTGTTCTCTGCATAAATTCACTGTTTCCTCAGTATGTCGACACTGCAGTTATTGGGTGGCTCTGTGCCTGGTAATGGAAAGAGGAACTCCCCACGTCAGGTGTTACGCTATGATTTTGCTAATGTCTGCGGTGAGTATTAGCCTCCAGGGGGACTTAAATAAAATGGGGAAACTGCCTGAACTCCCAGTGGCTGCCCTTGATGGCAGCCAGATTTGATAGATGTGATTTTTGCAGTTGCCATGATGTTTAAGGGATAGTACGCTCCAAAAATTGTAATTCTGTTATCGTTTACTCGCCCTCATGCGGTTCCAACACACAAAAATAGATATTTTAAAGTATATTACACAAAATAAAGTAATTTTTTGGTCAACTATCACTCTAAGAGCAGAACATGTCATTGTAGTGTGCAATAGTTCTGGAAATAAATATCCCATTCATTTTCTCCATAGGGGAATTGAATCTATTTTTAACGGTAATTTATTCATCTTTAAACGGATACTCCACTTTTTTTTTTTTTTTTGAAATAGCCTAATTTTACCACTCCCCCAGAGTTAAAAATTTGAGTTTTACCGTTTTCGAATCCCTTCAGACGATTTTCTAGAGATTGGTTTTACCGTTTTCGAATCCCTTCAGACGATTTTCTAGAGATCGTTTACCGTTTTCGAATCCATTCAGCCAATTTTCTGATATTTAGAAGAAAATCAGTAACCAGACAGTTTCTGGTCTCATTGAATTCCATAGTAGGAAAAAAATATACTATGGAAGTCAATGGGACCAGAAACTGTATGGTTACTGATATTCTTCTAAATATCAGAAAATCGGCTGAATACATTCGGGAACGGTAAAACCCAACTGTTTAACTCTGGGGGAGTGGTAAAATGAGCCTATTTCCAAAAAAAAGTGGAGTATCCCTTTAAAGACAGACCTACTGTGATCTCTGATGCTCAGAACTATCAATTATTTGCACTTATTTTTGTAAGTCATTTTTAACAGTGGAATTCCTGATGAAAAACTACATTACTCATGGCTGTGCAAAGAAATATCCACCAACCAGAGAATCAAGGTCGAAAAAGCTCTTCGAGACCGCCCACTCATAGGATATGTATAATACTATATATTTATACTGTATGTACAGTACAGTACACACACACAATCCTGGGCAAAACAAATGGGCCAAGCTCAAAATGGCTAAACACAAAGCTTTTCATTGTCTTAACCACAAATTATTGTTCAGGAAATTAGCTAAATTTAGCCATCAGGCTCATGTTTTGACCAGGTCAGAGTCCATTTGAACCCTATGGTGAATATTTGGTGTCACATTAAACTGACTGTCCAACTAACTGGGGCACATTTTTCAACAACTAATGAACTGTTTGATGCCATTAACATTGAGTGGAACGACATTGAGACTTCTTCCTGTAAAAAAAAAAAATGGTTTATGCATATTTAGCCATTTTATGCTTGTGGTGTGATTTCCCCTTGTGGTTTTGGCTCGGCTAATGGCTTTAAATTTTTTAATCCCCATGGGAAAAATACTTACGGAATCAAAGCTGCTGAAAACGAGGGTGGACACTGTTGCACTCTGTGGTGTAAGACCTGATGATATTGAGGAATGCAGCTGTTTTAAGCAGTTTGGTTATTAGCGGCAGCTCACAATGGTTTGCGCAATGGACTAAAGCTCTTCTATCCAAGTGGATTTGTCCTACAGTAGGGGTCCAAAAGTTGTGTGAGCACCCTGGTTCATCTCTACTTAGCCATACCTATTTATCATTCCCTTTGTTTTTTCGGTTACTACGAAGACAGTCCTCAAAGATCATTTAATCTTGTTATTCTTATCTATAAAATATTAATTTCTTCCCAATCCCTAATCACTACTGTCCCTCAAGAACTGAAAACGAGAACAGTGTCTTCCTCGTCTTCCAACTTTATTTTAGCATGGCGGATGACATTTAGCACTCCCTCCCACTGTGTGAACATCCAATTATTATGCAGCCAGTCCAACTGGGGCAAAGGGAGCTGGGTCTGTCTGTGTCATCTGTCTGGGTGAAAGAGGGGACAGAGCATTCGCTAAAAGCTATTAAGACTTAATTACTGCTAGAAATGCATTCTTGTACCTAGGAGTGCATTGTTCACAAATAAACAAGGATCTGGAGAAAGGGCATGGAAAGCATGGAGGTAATACTGATTAGCATGGGGAAATGAGCAGTTGAGTTTGGGATTAAAACCCAATATGCTTCTGTTCCTGCTTCCCTCCTTCCTGCTTTTTTGTTAAAGGGACAGTGCACTCAAAAATGTAATTACCCTTTTGTCATTTCAAACCTGTGTTATTTACTTCTGTGGAACACGAATAGGAGAAATGCTACTATGAATGGAGACAGAAGCTTTAAATTGGATTTAATCCGTGCAACGTGTAATCAAAATATAACAGCACTTTCCAGTGAAAACAGCACTTCTCCAATCATTTAATCCACTTAAACTTCGCCCCTATAAGCTCACACTCATATTTCTTCATTTCTGGACATCTAATCAACACCAATGCAAAGAACCAGGTTCTGCTCTACTTTTTAATAGTTCATCACACTCAGATCTTTATAAAAAAAATTTTTAAAAAGCAGAAGAAAAGATGTTGCTACTTTTGTTTCATGGTGCCTATTTGTGAACATCATCCAACCTATCTGCTTAGTGTTTTCATGAGACAAATGGTGACGCCAAATTTGTGAATGAATCATTGTTTTGAGTTTAAGCTTATCAGTGTATGGTTTGCAAAACCAGTCTGAATTTGTTCCCATTTCTGACTGGTTTGGATCTGAATAGCACCGACTCAGTGATCTGCTCTCAGTAGTTCTCACTGAGAGAAAGGTTATCAATTAATAATTACTTCGAATTTGGTCAGTTTCTCAGACAAAAAGCTCCTGTCTGTGCCTGTAGAAGTGTGACCAGTCAATTATTCATAATTTGTTTAGTTCAACAGAAGAGTAAATGATAGAATTTTCATCTACTATTTTTCCGTACCATCTCATTATTATGCAGTAGCCTAATCTATATGTAGGCTATATATCAGATATGTACTGTTGCTGTACTATTCTTTTTTATTTTTTTTCTAAAAGGTCTCATTGTCTGGTATTGTCTCGGAATGCTTCCTCCGTCACTTCTTCCTTGTTCATGTGCTTCAAGTCTCACAACTTTTAGACGTGTGTCGGCTCTATTGTTTTATTCTGTTTCGTAGTGAATTACTCTTGCTGTGTGAGTGGAGCCCGCAGCTGAGGGATCTCCAACAACAAGTGTTCCCTAGAGAGCCGCAATCAGACACGTCTGTAGAGCAAAGCTGCAATGCTTTTGTGAAGCCAAACCGTAAACTGTGTTTAGTATTCCAGGAACATTGCAGTAGCCTAGCGGTCTTCATACACGCACTTATGTTCATATTTTGTTCAGCTCAATGTACGGAGACTGAGGCCTTCGTAGCCTACTGCACAACTTGATATATCATTAATATGTCATGTGGCTCGCTCGAAATTAAAAAAATAAATAAATACGTTAAGTCAGTAAGTCAAGCAAATTATTAATTGTAAGTGTTAATCGTTTGTTATTCAGCCTTCAAATATTTTTGGGAACCACATGAGGTGAGTAAAATTCTGTGTATTTTTCATGTCTTAGGGTGATGCTAAGATTGCATGGTGTCCATGTCTTCATCATGGCCATTTCGCCTATAGTCAAGAAATGATTGTTCACTTTTGTTTCCAGTTATAGGTGCAACACTGACACCTGCTGTACAGCCATATGAATACATCACAATCAAACAAAACGCTCTGGGACTACATGTACAATTCAATTGACTCTGTGCACGAGAAAAATGCTAACTTCCGCCTTGAGGGCGGATGTTGGGTACTTCGGTTCCGGTTGCCGTTGTTTACATCCTACAGTGGACCGGCTATCTAAAGCTTAGCTATCTAAATATATTTGTTTAAAACTATGTTCGTTTGTTCATTGTCAAGTCAACCAACACAGTTTTCACTCATATTTGGGTGGAGCCAGGTGCTGCTGCATTGTGAAAAGTAAACGATATTTCACATTTTGTCACCGCACCCAAGCAGTCGCTTTACAGAGTGGAGCGTTGCGTATCCATGACAACTAGAAGGAAGTTTTTAGGCTACTAGCAGTAATTATTTATTATATTATACCCTTTAACCAGGAGAAGCCCCTGGGTTTAGAACCTATTTTGCAAGGGAGACCTGTTTAGAAATATGTGTGAAAAGCCTAATATGTGTTAAACAGCCTAACTTGATAACGAACGAACCAACGTCGGATACCTTTACTCCCTGTATGACATAGTGGTTGTCAACACTGATCTATATGACATTCTATATATAGATAGTGGTTGTCAACAACATAGCCTCTCAACATCATAAACAAAACAATGGCCAACACAAACTGTTCTGGAAAATGCACTTTCTAACGCATGATTTCGCATTTTATAATGTATAGAGAGATATAACAGTTACCAAATCGCATAGCTTGAGCACGTAGCATGGCAACATTAATGTCGAGTGATTCCACGTGTACCGCGTATGTACACGCCGTCAAATGTCCGAGCGAAACAAAACAAAATGTAGATCTACATCTGGGGAGCGATATTTATTGTTTCCTAGGATGGTAGGAGTGACGGGTAGGTTGGGGTTGAGGTAGGTCATATGCTCTCTCTCTCTCTCTCTCTCTCTCTCTCTCTCTCTCTATATATATATATATCAGTGATTCTTGGGAATTTGGATAAAACAGGTTTTAATTTTGAAAATAAAAAGTTAGTTAAATTACAAAATCTAAAGGTATATCATTATAAAGCAAGGTCTTGGCTGTTCAGCAATGCACCGGTGCAACCTCCTCATTTTGTATTTTTTTCATAAAAT